TCTCGCCCGTCGAGTCCATCGCCAGTACACATGGCTCAACGCAGGAGAATCAAAGGAAGCTGCTCGAAATGACATGAGTCATTGCATGTCGTGGCTACTCGCTTGTGGTGGCGGCTCGTCTACTCCTTTTCTGGAACCAGTGCATGAAAGCTGGGGCCAGACTTCACGGTTTCAAGCTCGCGCCAATCACTCGCACTTCCTGTCAACTTCTTCTGGAGCTTCATCGAGCTTCCCGCGGATAGGGAGTGCGTCAGGGTTTCCACCGTGCACCGCTTGGCGACCTGCGGAGGGATTCAGCCGAGGGGCCGTACCAATCGGCGTCTTGATTCGAGGTTTTCCCCTGAGAAGCGTTTTTTTCCCCAGATTTCAATAAACCCGGAAAAAATAGGAAAAAAGGAAAAACAAGCAAACCGAGAAAAACAAAAACACAGGAGGAAAAACGGAACTTGAGAGCGCCTACTGTGCCAGCGCCTCCTCAAAGAGCTCCTGGTGCCGGTGCTGAGCCAAGGCATAGGAGTACAGCAGCATGGAGAAGTTCATAGGCTGAAACCTGGAGACATGCGCCGACTTTTGAGGCGTCAGCCGAACCCTTGGGGCCAGTTCGGTGTACCGGACATTTCAGGAGTTATTGTAAGGCAGTCTGAATTAGGAACATCTTGCAGTGGGCATGAAATCAATCACAGCTCTCGTCCCTCATGTGTGTGTGTGTTGACATTTCGTGAGTCTGCCGATATGCCAAGTCGAGAAGTCCCATGCCGCAGCCAAGTTCTTGAATCTAGTGGCCTAGTGGTTTGCCTTTTCAGAGGCCATGTTTGAAAGGAGGCTTTTCACCAAACTAGATGATCCCAAACTTCTGGTGTTTCTTAAATTGCCCCCACCCTAGGCCCTTTTCGAGACAGCCCTGTTGGCAAAATATCCCAAGAGACACACAGTTGCACAATCCCCGATTTTGACACAATACCAATACATCTTGAAAAACGCAAACTCATCCCACTGGATGCTCTCGCTCTCTTTATGTCGAGAGAGACATCCCTATGAATGGGCTAGCAAAAACCCTCAGTTGCAATAGATGTGATGTCTGACACCATCTGTCAGGAACATGGCGGCAGTTTCAGAGTTTGTGGCAAGAATATAACTACAGGGATGGCTTGCTTCCTTTGGCCAAGCTACACTGGGCGAGTATTTTTTTGTCGCGGGGCCCTGTGGAAACAGGGGCCAAGAATCTGCAATAGCTGGGCTGTTCAAATGGAGGATTGGCCACTCCGAGTTTCCCAAATCTCAACGGGACACTTCCTGTACAAAGGGCTCACACAGCGGCCAGGCATGTTGTTTCATTACATCTCCAACGTCTCAGGCTGGGGCTTGTCCATCTGCGAGATCGCATGGTCAGCTGCCCGTGCGAAGAGCTCCTGCATAGCTTTTTGGGCTCTCGCTGACAAGGGGGGGGGGTTGTCAAAATTGTGGACTCCGCGGATCTGCAAAGGCAGTAAACAAAAATCAACCTCCTGTGCTTTTTTGTTAGGTCCAAATGTTTGAAACACCAGGAGTGCTCTTTAATTACACTTCAAGAATACCAGTAGGATGCAAAAGGGCATTGTATGAACCCCTGTTGGCAAGCTTCCAAATGCGGAGGGCACAAACTGACATTGCACTGTTCCGCTCTGCTTGCCATTGATCGACCAGACCTGAGGTATGTATCAAGACCAGCGAACGTCTAAATTGTTTCTTTCATGCTGCTTGGCCCCGGGGCGAACCAAAATGCCCCAACGCGCGCCCGACCCAACCCCTCTCACCCCCAAGAAAAAAAACAAAAACAAGCCAACAAAAACAAACAAAACAAACAAACAACAAATAAACAAACAAAACAATCAAAACAAACAAAAAAGACACACAACAAAAACAATAAACACCAAACAAACAAACACGAAACACACAAAACAAACAAAAAACAACAAACGAAAGAAACAAACAAACAAACATACAAACAAACAAACAAACAAACAAACAAACAAACAAACAGACAAACAAACAAACAAACAAACAAACAAAAAAGGGGAAAACAAGAAGAAAGAAAACAGAAGCACGGCAAGGTGCCACCTTTGCAACATGCCACACCCTTTGCGTCTGTGTCGGCCGCTCCTCGTCCACGAAGCCGCACTTGGCCATGGCCCAGGTGGTGTTGGCCTAAAGGCGTCGGCCATGTGCAACACAAATAAAGCAAACATGACTAGAGCTAGACCCAGTTATAGAATGTATATTTTAGGGTTTGCTTGACATGGAGTCACTGGTAACGTGTAAAATTTTAAGTCTACCCCAGCAAATATTCGTGTAGACTGTACTTATGTATGTGTATAAATTAAATGCATATACATATACAGGTAGATTTTGCATAGTATATACGTACAACATCTGTCTGTAGAGCGCCTAACAATAATTTCTGCGGACAAGCATGTGCCGTGGAAAGGACACGAAAAGACACACCTGTCAATGAGGCTGCCAAGCAATGTGGGGGGCTCAAGAACCCGTGGCTGAGGGCCACGGTGACACCTTTGGACCTGGCAATCTGCTGAGGCTCAAAGTCCTTGAGCTGATTCTTCACCTGGCTCCGCTTAGCAAGGGGAAGAAGACATTTCCATCCACTGCCCTTTATATTTGTTTCCATGGTTCGGTCCTATGCTGGTGGGTAAATAGAACATCACGTATCACCTGCAACGCGGAGGCTCTGAGCGAAGAGAAGCTCGCGCTGGAGACATGCGGTAAAAGTACTGGCGGCAGGGGCATGAGTACAGGTAGCTGTAGCTCAACATGTACCAAAATGGCGCCATGGTAAATGGAACCAAAGAATACCTGCGTAACCCTAGCCCTACTTTGAGCCACACCCATTGCTGGACTCCGCGGCAGCCAAAGCAAACGTGGCAATGAGACTCCGCTTCGAATGCTCGTGCCGCATGCGGCCGTTTGAGAGCTCTCATTTTCTTGCTGGCTTGCAGCGCCCCAATAGTTATTCGACATCCGCTTGTGTTCGAAAGGGCTATCTTTATTATCCATGGCCTCAAACTGAGACGGCCATCTAAATGGAGTGTACCCTGGGAGCAAGATGCTTCACCTCTTGTCGGTTCAATTGAGGTCCGTTTGTTCACACGAGATCCAAGTAGCTACACACCAGCCGTGCATGAATTCTCATCTTTGGCCGTACATCGGGGACAAAACAGGAAGCGAAATAATTAGAGTCACAACCAACATCTGGTATTGACGGAATCTAGCTACAAACCATGTAAATAAGTAAAGGGCGCCCGAAACTGTTTGTTGCCGGGACTGTCCCTTGCTAACCTTCATTTACCCGGACTTCCGTTGCTCTGGATCCCTTTTCGGACCTCAAAAGCCCAATTTCCTCTTGGGATGTCCACGGAAAAACCGCCCCAACCATGGTCCAACGTCGCATCAAGATGTTCAATATACCTTACAACCCGCTAACGCAGAGCTCACTAGAAGAATCCTAGAGCCAAAGCACTGTTCGTGGGCCCCGACTCAGACTACTGGTGCAGGCATAGACCCCAGCAAAAGTTGTGCCTTTTGCTGCATAGGGTGTTGCTCCACCAGGAACATAACAGGTCCTTTAAGGGCCTCTGGGCAAGAATGTAAGACCAGAATGGGTATAGCGATGGTTGGTGGGACGGAAAACCATTGCACCCCTGTGATACCAAAGTGTGCCGTCCAACTATGACTACTTTATCACTTGGGGGATTCTCTTGGCCCCTCACAAAAAGAGTTGGCCCAGAAACACCCACAGTTTCCACGAGGAAACCTGCCCACCCTGCAAAAAGGGTACTCTGAAACAGGGAGGGAGCCCCTTTTTTAATATGCCAATATGTAGGTTGGTGCCTCCACCTAGATGCTCAGGGGCCCACCCCTTTGTGGTGGGAGTCCAAGCGCTCGCCCTGGTTGCAAGAACGGCCTCCTGGGCTGCGGCCTGCAGCAGCTTCTCATCTGAAAGCCCAGACCTGCAAACTCCGATTCGCGCGAATCGATTCGTCCGCCAGGCTGGTGTCCTGGTTTCAATCCCTTTGGACTCCGACGAAAAGGGGGGGTCCGCCCCCCCAAAAAACGCCCCCCCCAAAAAAAACAACAACTTGACAACGCCCTCAAACATGGATTCAAGGCTGTGTGAAACCTGTGAAAAGGCAAGTGTGCGTGGAATCATCCCTTGTTGGGGGACCCAAACGAGACGATTGAACATCAAGAAATCACTTGGTCGCAAAACTCGAGGCTATGGGAACGAACGCGAATCCTGCATTTATCACGCCTCCGGCAATGCTCACGCACGCCCGAGCCGGCATAAGCCCTGCATGAATGTCAATGCAGGGATGATCGAATTCCTTTGATAATATACATATTTGGTCGGGTGCCGGACGGGGACGATCCGGCTCATGCAAGCGCCCCTGTCTGGCCCAGTTGCTTGGTCATCTTGGTACCTGTACAAAGCCAAGATGCTGCCGGATTCCGGGCTGCGGGTCTAGCCATAGCCTCAGTACCTCGGGGTCCAAACAGTTAGGGGGCGCCGACAAAAGTCACTCGAGCACCAGCCTCTTCAGGGCAAAATCACGCTTGGGCAGGGCAAGTCCGTGCATTGCGCGTCACTCTTGATGCCACTGGCGGGACACGCGCAGGTGTTGGCGCCGTCACCCTTGGGAAACACGTCGAATGGAGCGCAGCGGCCAGGTGGCAGAGACGTAGGCGGGCAGGCCATCAAAGTGCACGCCAAGCCATCCGACTTCCGGCCGGAGTTCGGGCAGAAGCAGGTGTTGCAGCCATCGGGGCCGATGAAGCTGACACCCGGGCAGCAGCGGTCCTCATCCTCATCCTGAGCTGGACACTCCAAGTGCGTGCAGTGCTCCGGGCTCTTCTTGCCATCTGCTGGGCAAACGCAGGTGTTCAGGCCGTCGCCTGCAGGGTAAGTGCTGAAGGGGGTGCATCTCTCTGTGAGGGCCATCCATCCTGGGCAGGACATGCGAGTGCAAGCAGACTCGTTCTTCAGGCCACTGGCCCTGCACATGCAGGTGTTGCAGCCGTCGGCTGCAGTGAAAGATCTGCCAGGGCAGCATGTGTCCTCCTCCCCGTGCTGCGGCTGGGGTGGCTGGGGCGGCCACATGGGGCTGGTGTCCTGGGGTGCCTGCGTGCAGGACAGCGTCGTGCAGTCGGCCTGGTCCTTGCGACCGCTGGCCGGGCATCTGCAGGTGTTCAGACCATCGCCCGCAGGGAACATGCTGTGAGCCATGCACCAGCCTGCAGGCAGCAGTGGCGGCGGGCAGGCCATGCGCGTGCACCGGGACTCGTTGCGCAAGCCGCTCTCCGCGCAGTGGCAGGTGTTGCAGCCATCTGCTGCCGTGAAGAGAAGACCCGGGCAGCACACCCCCTCCTCCGACTCATCGTCACGCTCCGACGGGCATGCGAAAGCGGTGCAACTGGCGTCCGCCTTCAGGCCGCTCAAAGGGCAGGTGCAGCTGTTCAGGCCGTCGCCTGCCGGGAAGGACGCCCCGGGCGAGCAACGATCTGCTGGCTCGGTGGGCGGCGGGCAAGCCATCAGTGTGCACGCGGATTCGTTCTTCAGCCCTGAGGCTCCGCAACGGCACCTGTTGCACCCATCAGGAGCCTGAAAGGCATGGCCGGGGCAGCATGCGCCTTCTGGCATGGCCAGCCTCACATCTGCAATCGCGGGCTTTGGCTCCAGCCTCGCCTTGTGCGGGCACTTCATTCTCGTGCACTCGGCCTTGCTGCGGTCGCCGTTGGCCGGGCAGGTGCAAGTGTTGAGGCCGTCGCCCTTGGGGAAGGCAACCAGAGGCTCGCAGCGCTCAGATTCCTTGTCCAGGCACAGCATGGCCGTGCAGGCAGACACGTTGCCGCTGGGCCCGCACACGCAGGTATTGCAGTCCTTCTTAAACACCGTGCCAGGGCAGCACTGCTGTTGGCTTTCCGGGTGCAGGGCTTGCGAGAACTCTGCCAGCAAGGGCAAAAGCAACAGCCGAATGCACACCATCCTTGTGGGAAGCTTGCTGCGGACGTCTGATTGCGAGTCAAAACTTGTGCCAGAGTTGCTGCGGAATGCTTCAGCTGAGATTGCAAAGGCAATATCTTAAAGCAGCGTCATTACTCAAGTCTCTTCAAGAGTGCAAACATATTGCGTGCGGCTAGCATGAAACAAGAGCATGATGAATGGACCATTCATGCAGCAAAAGCGACACATGCTCCATCCAGAACAGAATAATGATAGGAATGCTAGATTTGGATACCGCTTTGCAAACTCAGATGCAAATCAAAAAACGCCCTCCGAAAGGACATTCTGTTCGTCCACATCCCTCTTGGGCGTTCCACGTTAGTGTGCGGGAGTGAACATCGAGAAACGATGTGGCCCCTAAAATTAAGGTGTTCCAGGCAAGCAAATGCAAAGCCGCTGCGGCATGCATGAACGCGAATCCTGCATTATCGAGCCTCCGGCAATGCTCACGCACGCCCGAGCCGGCATAAGCCCTGCATGAATGTCAATGCAGGGATGTTCGAATTCCTTTGATAATATACATATTTGGTCGGGTGCCGGACGGGGACGATCCGGCTCATGCAAGCGCCCCTGTCTGGCCCAGTTGCTTGGTCATCTTGGTGCCTGTACAAAGCCAAGATGCTGCCGGATTCCGGGCTGCGGGTCTAGCCATAGCCTCAGTACCTCGGGGTCCAAACAGTTAGGGGGCGCCGACAAAAGTCACTCGAGCACCAGCTTCTTCAGGGCAAAATCACGCTTGGGCAGGGCAAGTCCGTGCATTGCGCGTCACTCTTGATGCCGCTGGCGGGACACGCGCAGGTGTTGGCGCCGTCACCCTTGGGAAACACGTCGAATGGAGCGCAGCGGCCAGGTGGCAGAGACGGAGGCGGGCAGGCCATCAAAGTGCACGCCAAGCCATCCGACTTCCGGCCGGAGTTCGGGCAGAAGCAGGTGTTGCAGCCATCGGGGCCAATGAAGCTGACACCCGGGCAGCAGCGGTCCTCATCCTCATCCTGAGCTGGACACTCCAAGTGCGTGCAGTGCTCCGGGCTCTTCTTGCCATCTGCTGGGCAAACGCAGGTGTTCAGGCCGTCGCCTGCAGGGTAAGTGCTGAAGGGCATGCATCTGTCTGTGAGGGCCATCCATGCAGGGCAGGACATGCGAGTGCAGGCAGACTCGTTCTTCAGGCCACTGGCCCTGCACATGCAGGTGTTGCAGCCGTCGGCTGCAGTGAAAGATCTGCCAGGGCAGCATGTGTCCTCCACCCCGTGCTGCGGCTGGGGCGGCTGGGGCGGCCACATGGGGCTGGTGTCCTGGGGTGCCTGCTCGCAGGACAGCGTCGTGCAGTCGGCCTGGTCCTTGCGGCCGCTGGCCGGGCATGTGCAGGTGTTCAGACCATCGCCCGCAGGGAACATGCTGTGAGCCATGCACCAGCCTGCAGGCAGCAGTGGCGGCGGGCAGGCCATGCGCGTGCACCGGGACTCGTTGCGCAAGCCGCTCTCCGCGCAGTGGCAGGTGTTGCAGCCATCTGCTGCCGTGAAGAGAAGACCCGGGCAGCACACCCCCTCCTCCGACTCATCGTCACGCTCCGACGGGCATGCGAAAGCGGTGCAACTGGCGTCCGCCTTCAGGCCGCTCAAAGGGCAGGTGCAGCTGTTCAGGCCGTCGCCTGCCGGGAAGGACGCCCCGGGCGAGCAACGATCTGCTGGCTCGGTGGGCGGCGGGCACGCCATCAGTGTGCACGCGGATTCGTTCTTCAGCCCTGAGGCTCCGCAACGGCACCTGTTGCACCCATCAGGAGCCTGAAAGGCATGGCCGGGGCAGCATGCGCCTTCTGGCATGGCCAGCCTCACATCTGCAATCGCGGGCTTTGGCTCCAGCCTCGCCTTGTGCGGGCACTTCATTCTCGTGCACTCGGCCTTGCTGCGGTCGCCGTTGGCCGGGCAGGTGCAAGTGTTGAGGCCGTCGCCCTTGGGGAAGGCAACCAGAGGCTCGCAGCGCTCAGATTCCTTGTCCAGGCACAGCATGGCCGTGCAGGCAGACACGTTGCCGCTGGGCCCGCACACGCAGGTATTGCAGTCCTTCTTAAACACCGTGCCAGGGCAGCACTGCTGTTGGCTTTCCGGGTGCAGGGCTTGCGAGAACTCTGCCAGCAAGGGCAAAAGCAACAGCCGAATGCACACCATCCTTGTGGGAAGCTTGCTGCGGACGTCCGATTGCAAGTCAAAACTTGTGCCAGAGTTGCTGCGGAATGCTTCATGACACCGAAACATGATGCAGGCAGAAACAAACATCCAGTCCATGCCCAGCGCCTCGCAAATGCCCACAGAGTCATTGAGAGGTTCACGGGCTGGAAGGACCCGATGCGCACCCTGGCGAATCGGCAAGGAATGCATCGAGTACATTTGCACAGTCTACTTATGGAAGTCTCAAGGAGCCAGTGAACGAGTCCAACAAGTCCAACCAGCGTTTGATAATTGGCTTCTTGAGTTTGGCACCAATCTTGCCGGCAGCGCAAGATACGCTCGGAGAGCAGGTTGAAAAGGGTGGTGCTCTGAATGCCAAGCTTTGTCAGCCCCCAGGCTGCGTTGGACAAGTCCTGACGGGCATTGACTGATCAGCTGCTTTCATGGAGCAGGTCATTGCAATGTCCACCACGGATGTAAGCAAAGTAAAAACTGGCGGATTGAGGGGGCGTGTCCACCCATCAAAAAAGAACGGAGGCAGAGGATATATATCCTCATCAACCAGGGGCTGATTTATCCCGTGGTCCACTTAAAATGGTTGGCCTTGTACATGCTGCACGTTGCGTACAGCTCAATTGCAACTCGGCTTGTCGATGGATTCAAGCCTTTCTGACAGACTGTGTCTGAGTAAAACTAATGCCGCCACTTCCGAGACATGTATGAGACATTCCGTCAAAAGACCCCACCCAGAGCTACTGTTTACCGCAGCATGAACCCGCTTGGCCCATAGCCAAGCTCCTGGGGCTTCAGGGACAGCGGGTCAGCTTTGCGAATCGTGTCCGAAAGCCTGGGAGTTGAACCGGCTGGGTGCTGTCTGAACTCTGCAAACAGATGGCTCCAGAGTCCTCCCCAAGGCACAAATGGTAGCCTCTTTAGCTCAGTTCATTACCGAACTGCTGGACCGAGTTTCCCACCTGGCAGAAAACTTGAAAGGGAACCCTCTTTTGGGTTGACCAGCTTTGGAGGAAAAGCCAACAAACAAGAGATCTATGCCAATGAACAGCTGGGACTACGTAACTTGGCACCAGCACTTGCTTGCCTCTGGCTCAGGCTGCAGCTTGTTCACCAAACGCTTGCACCGAGAATCTCTTCTCAAAGCTGCCTGAACGTCTGCGATCTTGCCCCGCAAAGCACTCCAAAGCTCACCAAAAACGGTCGCCAGGCAAACACAGGGGCCCTCCCTTCCAAATCGATAAGGGATGCCTCAAGACACAAACATACCCGTAGCTGCTCGCATCAGTCTCCGATATGGCCGTTTCGCCTTCTTCGAGGCCAGCGAAATCGCCGCCAGGCGATGCAGCGCTGTGATGAGGTTCACGGCCTGGACTGAGATGCACTGAGCTTGTGGCTTTGAGGCTATGAATTCTAATCTCGGTGCTTGTTGTTTTCGGTTGCCAAAAGTTAACAGTTTAGACATAACATGCATTCCTCAAAACTCTGTCTCACTCTAAAAGCACAAGGGGCAGCAAGTAACCCTTGGTGGACAACGTTTACATGGGAGGTTTAGGCCCAACAGCAATTTTGAGAAGTGCTACCCAGTATTCGCCAACAAGCTTGACAGTGTTCCCCATCAATGCTCATAGCTCTTAATCCTTTCAAGCAATCAAATCAAACCGATTGTCTGCAATCTTGTGGTGCCTTGTGCATTTGACACGTGCGTTGCGGTAAGCTTGTCAGGGAAACACCACCAGATTTGGTCCGGACTGGGTCAAGCTACCTGGCCAAACACCAAGGAGGGGGACATGACAGCTTACCAGAATGCGCTTCCTCGGTACATCTGCCACCCGGGCACCCCACACCATTGGTCACTGGATGTGTTCTGCAAAAGTTGTAATTTCCAAAAGTTGGTTGCAACAAAGTGCAACTGTGAAGGTTTGAGGGGACAGGGGTCCCTCAATCTCATCTGCGTTTGGACCAAACATGAAACTCCTGAGATTACCGTGCAGTGCCCAAACCTATTTTCTACCAAGATGCTTGCGAAAGAGAGCCACCTTCTAGGGCCAACTTCCGGAGCGTTGGGCGCTGCTCAAGCCCATTTCTGGGAAAACCAGATTGGAAATAAGGAAGCCAAGCAAAGGACCTGCATGGAATCGCGGATTTCTCACCCCTTCAACTTCCAATTTGCTATTAAGCTCGGGCCAACCCCCTGTAACATGTTGACTTGCTTTTGGTTCACCTGTTAAGGTGGCCAGGGTGTTTCAAAAAAAAGCCACTGGTCCTAGTGGCTGTTTTGTCGACCATGGCTCAGCTTCGCGCATTGAGCTGGTCGAAATTCTCGTCCACCACCTGGCAAACTCTTCTTCCATCAGCCCCTCTGTGTGACTGAGAATCGCAAAGGAGCTGTTCCATCCTTTGCACAACGTACGAGGGGGGAAGGTTGACAAAAACAGGGAGCCCCTTTTGGGAACCATGGTGATATGTAATGCTGCCTTGTGAATGGGGGGGTGCTATTAAAAACATAGCCCCCCCCCCCTTTCGGGACATGGTCACATTTATTCGTTGTAACCTCTTAGGGAAAACACCGTGAACAAATAAGCTCAGGTGATATCCCCAACAGTATGCGGTGCTCTTTTTAGTGCTCGCGCCCTCGTGGAACCTTCGTGGAACCCTGGTGGAACCCTGGTCGAACCGTCGTGGTCAGGGCCGCCCCGGACCACCCCGGAGCCTATCTGGGCTGAGACCCCAAAGCTTTCAGCTGTTGGGGAAAAAAACATAAAACAAACCAATCACCTGTTCGACAACCGAATCTGCCTGTAGGATTCGCTCCGGCATGCCGGCATGGACGATGATCTGGTTCAGCTGCACATTCACCTGTGGACTCAAACATGTGCAACATGACCCCGAGAATCCGAGTGCTATGCAGGCACTTTGACCCCCAAATGACCCGCCTCCCTCCCCCCCAAGCCAAACACTCAACTAGGCTGCATTTGGATCTTCAGGATACCTCTGAATGTGATACCACGGTGAGAAGCCCCACAACTATGTTTTTCGCTGGAAAGAGGAGAAAGCGCGGCCAAGCCACTTTTTGCCTGCAATGGGCATCAGGTATCAGGCCAACGGCTGGCCGTAAAACCCTGCAATCTGAGGAGGAGGCTCGGTCTGGAGCAGAGGCTTTGTTCGCCTCACCTGATGGGCCAACAGGTGAACATTTTGCCGGGAAACCCTGGGACGATTGTGACCCCAAGCAACAGGTGGATGCCCAAAGTCTGCTTTAACTCAACTTCTACTCGGGCGCACAGAACTCGAACCGTGACGTTCGGCTCACTAAGGATGATGGTGACTGGTACAAAGACTGCGTTTTGTTTGCCCATTCTCACCGTCAGCACCTGGTTGCTGAAAAGTGCAAGCGGGGCCGCAACACTGACTTTGATAATCGAAAATAGGCAATACTGACGAGGTCCGTGTTTCCATCAGCACCTGTGATCTGTGTCAACTCTTCCATGTAGAAATGTGGTTCAATCAAAACGGGCCAATCCTCCCATGCCAAACCACTTATGTGGCTTTCATCCATGTTCGATGCCTGAGACAGGCTATGTTGCCATAAAAGGAATCACACATGTGTTTTGATTGGCCTCCTACAGTAGATGGACATATCAATATCCACAATTGCACCTCTCATCCATGGCGTAAGGGATAGAATGCTGGAACCATGACGCCCGCTGCCCATTGATCTCTGCACTCTCGGTATGTTCCAAATCAAAGCCCCGCCTTCATTTCTGCGCCGAAGTTTGGCCTCACACAAGCATCCCTTAGCCCAGGACATTTGGAACACACATGTTTTGGACTTGTGCAGCGCCGCCCAGAATTCCCATGCCTCCCACAGCTGCAACTCTTGCAGTCAGGGCTACCCCTTTGCGCACCTGTCCTAAATGATCCCCAATTCAGGCTTTGAGACTTCAAGCATGTTCTCCACCCGCGCCGAAAAGGATGCAACTGACATGCTGTTTGTTGTTGTTTTTGGGGTGTTCTTGAAGACGGTTGATGTGGCCGAAGTCCCCATGAGGGCCTGTGGCATCGTGTTTCACTGTGAGTTTGGTACGAGCCATGCACCAAGCAACTGTGAGGCAGGTCCAAGCAAGCGACCAATTTAGGGTTGGCAGTGTGGCTGCGATACACTAGCAACACTGCATGCAATGGATGCAAGGAAGAGGCTTGTTTGCAGCCTACAGGCATTGTGCCCCTGGAACCCAGGAGGGGGTGCCTTCCCCAGCGTGCCTTCTGCGCAGGCTCTGTCCCAGTCTCTGCAATTGAGTACCTCCAATTGCAAGAGTGCAAAAAGCGACTCGCGGGTGTGCACTTTGTTGGGACTTATCATTCTAAACGATAATCACAAGAAGCTTCTCGAAATGACGCCAACGTGGCAGAACATATTTCTGATTGATCTGGAGGGGGTTATTCATCCAAAGTGGACGTGCGTCCAACTGCTTGTGCTCCTCCTTGACAAAGGCACCTCCCTTCGAAGTTTCGCAACATCCACTTGGCAGTCATTGCAGCAAACAAAGCAACTAGAGCTGCAAGAGGACCCAGCTGGGATGGTGCCAACAGGCGCAATGTTGTAAACAACACCCATGCACGCACACAAACACATGCAAATTCATCCTGAATGAGCTTCCTCATTCGAACAGGTGACGAGGCCATGAAGATCAACGGCCACCAGGACTTCGCGGCTGCCCGACCCCCGAGGGCGCTTGGAGAGGAAATGGCCACCACCTCCAAACACCAGAGATGGCCCATGGTCCTGCGTGCGGTGCATCGAGATGCCGCTGAGATGTCAACTACCCTACCACCAGCAAACATGGAACTGCACCACCCCCTTGTGGATTCTTTCTTTCTTCTTACAAGGCTATAATTCTGGAGCAATCAACACCATTTTCAGGCGTTGCTTTTGGAGGGCAGTCCGCATCCCTTATGTTGTGGAGATAAGCTCAATCGAAGCGAAGCGTGCTCAGCACTCCAACCTCCTCTGCAGTTCGGCTTGGCCTGCAGAGGCACGAGCTATCGGCGCCCCAAGCGAAACGTGCCCAAGCTTCCGGAATGTATTGAGATGTTGGCACCACCACGCTTGCTTTCTCTCTTGAAAACAAACACACCCTCAACACTATGTCAGGTATTACTTGCGAAATAAATACAGCCGAATGAATTTGTAAAGCAGTATATCCCGATATGAACTTGGTGGCTGCATCTCGTTCCGCGGTCGCTCGGCTTTGGACAGCACGGCAAAGCGCCTCGATCCGCTGAAGTTGGAAGCACCAGGACGGAACCTGAGCGCCGAAGTTGAGCACACCAGCAAGCCTATGGGCGCAATCGCATAGGCAAAGTTCTGCTTCCTCCGGGCTGTTGCCTGCCAGAACTAGCTAGGGGTCCATTTCAAGGGGGGCCATTCAATTTCCCATAGACACCAGACCTGTTTGACGTTGGCAGTAGGTAGAATAGGGGGCACTGTGCTCCTGTATTGAGGCAAAGTGAGGAAACAAAGCAGCACATCCAGTGGTTGTTCCTTACCGGGTACTTTCCATCCATTTACTCCCACTGCGTGAGTTGTCAACCTGTACTGACTTAGAGCCGTAGCATGGGAGCCATTATTGGGGACCATGAAAGGCCTTCCAATTGCTGCCCCTCTGAATCAATATTGGACCTCTGTTTTCATGGAAAATACCCTTCCAAAATCTTGTCCTTGCCAAGCCTTTCCTTCCCCTTTGAACAGAGTTCTGTCGGGGGGAGAGGGAACCTCATTGTCGCGTCAATGTGTGAACGTCCGCAAGGCTTCGGTGAGATGCAAATTACCACCCAAATTGGGGAAGCCCCAAATGGCTTTCCTTTGCGTTCCCGTTCAAATAAACACGGAAAGAAAAAGGGCTCGCTCAATGAAAGGCATACCGCGGTTGACCTTTTTGGAACAGTGGCGCCCAAAACCCGTTGACTCTCGGTTCTGCCAATATGGTCATACAGATTTGACTAGGCCTTGCGTACTATGACCCCTGAAATCACGTAGTAGGATGACGATAAGTGACCGTTTGCAAAAATAGATGGCCCTGGTAAATGGAGTAAAACCAATCTAAACCAGTGCCATCTATTTCTAACCAAACTACTGTTGATGGACGAAATCCTGCAGCGCCTCAGGAACCCTAGAATGATGATTCCCCTGTAAATACCAACCAACAATGGTTTCCCATGGTTTCAAACTGGTGCAGGGTTTCGTCCATCGACACAAACTATTACCTGAACAAGGCCACCTAGAAGTTTCAGTGGCCACGCGCCGGAAACTCGGGTGCTCAAGGTGGATTTTCAGGCGCCAAAAATGGCGGGCACCCCCCCTGAATGGCAAGAGACTCGGCAGCCCCAGGGTTCAGGCTGCTCGCCTGGCAAAAAGAGCTGGCCTTTCTTGGGGCCACTTTGGACAGCATTGGGGTCTTATTTGCGCACACCACTAACATGGACCATGATCTTCCAGGAACCCTTGAGGAACCCTTGAGGAACCCTGGCTGCAGTCAGGTTCCATGCTAGTGGATGGGAGATGGTATCTATGCCTACCTATCACTTTGAAGGCGTTCCAGCGATCGAAACTCGAGTTGCTGTTCGGTCCAGTTAGCGCGGCAAACAACTGTGACGGGCATTCTGTGTGCAGAGTTGAAGGCGCAGGCTGCGCTTGTCCTCTGAAACACTCCTCAGGGAAGATTAAAGACACTTGTGTGTGTGTGTGTGGTTTTTGAGGGCACCCCTTTTCAGGTTAGTTGAACGGGAAACAACTGGGAAGCACATGTTCTGGGGTACCCGTATCTTGACACATACCCACTTGGGCTCTGCAGAGGTGGGTGTCGGGGCACGGTCATTGTGGAAGGCCTTAAATAGCTACCGTCGGTCAGGGCAGCCAAAATGCCGGCTAGGAACCTACTTGAAAGGACAAGGTGAAATTATTGTCTGCCCCTTGTAAACAAACAAGACTGCGCTCCAATAGGCTCAACATGGGATGTTCAAACTTTAAACAACCAAAAAAGGACACGTGATGTTGTCAAAATCTCATGCTGCTGGCTATGCTCGTGGTTCTGTTGAATAAACTAGAAGTATCTAGAAGTCCTTGTCATGGTGCTCTAAACTCCCAAAGGGGTCCATGACAAAAACCAAATCCCCCGAGCTGTTGGAGGACTCGGCCGTCCCGTCCAGCCTGTGAGCCGCCTGCACGTGACACTGCCTCCAAAAAGACCACCTTTGTTGTTGCCAGGGGATTTTCTGGTGAAGCAAACAACAATAGGAACTGGGGCTCCATTGGATGAGTTTGCTGCATGCAAATCTGGTCTGCCACATCTCACCGATCTGTGCATCAAGCCAAAGCCTTCTTGCATTCCTTCAGGAAATCAGGCAGCAGCCATAGCGGCAAATCGGTTGCATCCAAATTCAGGTGGATTTTCGTGAACATTCAGCTTGCAATGCCAGTCTGAGTCAGGACTGTATCCGAGCATAGTAGATAAGACTGCTGTCTATCAAACCTCGAAACACAGGCCACCTGTTGTTGGCCGAATGCTTAAATGGTTGCTATGGCTTGCTGGACCTGCTTGCTGTACATCCTGTCCTGCGCGCATCTCTGGTGGAGACGCCCCAGAATGTCTGCAAAAGTTGCTAAGGCCGGCGGTAGTAGCTTCAGATTTCAATGGCGGTCCCAATGTGGAGGCTGCCCTTTAGGGGTTTGATGCTAACGGACGCCAAAGGCCAACTCCAATTTTGGGGGAGCTGTTGGCCTTCTTCGGAGTTGGAGATAGACCCTGTAGCAGAAGTACAAGAACATACGAAGCGGGCCTCCTATGGAATTCAAACTTGCCAACTTCTATGGTGACCATTCCCTGCCATGTAGAAAACAGGTTTCAAGCAACTGCCGCTCGTTGGACCCATTTACCTCGTTCTTGTTCAACGCCAACGTGTGCTTGTGATCTCAACCACCGGTCACCTATATGTTATGGCCCGGCCTCATTTTGGGGGTGTTCCCACCTCGTTTTGTACCTACTTCAGTATGTCACCCAAAACGTGTTTACGCCCCGCCTTTACTGTCTTGTGTCAATAAAGGCAATCGCTCACATCTCAATTCAGACACATACTAGGCATTTCTCCGCTTTGCCGCATACTGATGCGGCTTGTGCTATTATCATTGGACCACAAAGTGCAAAAACACCTTGCTTGAGACTCAACCTACTGATACGACGCTGTCACCAAACCAAAAAACAACAACAACACGTCGTGTTTGTTTGATGGCAAGACACAAATCAACTGGGTCTGCTACAATGACGACAAACCTTCGATTCTCCAAATTCAGGACCCTCCAAAACGGGTGGTTGTCCTTTGAAAGGCCTTTTACAGGAGGTACTGCCGGGGGTAATGCCGCCGAATACGTAAACTAGAATCATCAGCAAGATGTTTTGCACCATTTATATATGTAAGCTTCTTTCAAAAGCCTCGGTGTCCTCAAACGGTCCAGGCCGTGGTTTGGGCCTGTGGCAATCACTGCCACCATCTCTGGCGTCAATGAAGAGCTCCTTCCTTCCAACTTCCCACTTCACCGCCTCCTCAAAATCTAAGCTTCTGAGTTTTGGCGCCCGTTTTACACCTAGAGGTGTCTGTGGTAGTCAAATCATGGGCCATCTCCAACTGGCGGGCGACGCTGCGACGCTTCCGGATTTTCCGACGCTTCACAGCTCCACCCGCCAGGCATCGCCACTCCTGGCAAAGGCCGCCAGGCTCTTTGCTGATGGGCGACTTATGGAAAAACAAGACATTGCCTCTGTTCAATGACAAGAGAAAGGCTGGCACAGGTACCTCCACTCCTCATCGGCTGGCGCAGCTTCGGGAGGATGCCCAACTTCTGGTAGGCCGCTTGAGCCGCCTGACTTGCCCAAAAGGTCTGCCAGAAAGCTTCCAGGGAAGAGCAATCCATCCCGAGAGTCGGGACCAATTTTCAGCTTCCGCACGAATCTAGCAATACCAATGCCCCAGAGGTAAATAAGACAGACATTTTGCAAAACAGATGAACTGACAAGGATGCTGTGACTTCCAACTCAACGGAATCCATGACATGACCAACAGGGCATTCCCAAGTGTTGATAGAAGCCGGCTTTGAGCAAGGCACTTGTGACGCCACGAAACCAACGGCATGTGTCACACAATGTGAGTACAATGTGCCAAAAACTGGGGCACCAAAATGGTGTTGTTCCTTTTGGACTCATATTATATTTGAACCAATCCCCTCAACCAATAGATGCCTTGGAATCACGAAGTCGAACATGGCGGACCATGCCTCGCCTCTAGCTCGTCTTGAGTGGCCAAAGTCGGCCCAGCTACCTGACCCGACACAAGTCACGCACCTTGAGTGCCATTTGGGCTCCAGGACTGCAAGCCGAAACCAGCGATTCTCACACTTGAGATGGGACAAAGACGTCTGAACAGTTTGTTTCATTGAGAGGTCCAACATCTAAACTCCTGAAACTTTCCAAGTGGGAAGTGAGAACTTGAAACGGGGATCGGATCTGCGTCCATCCTCTCAGCTTTCCCTCGAGAAGTCGACTCAGCTCGGCACCATGCGATTACGGTACCGCCAGGCCAGGCTTCGTCGCCGCGCTTCATCTGCTGAATGCCTGTGAGCTGTCCAATGGCTGACCGGAGGGCTTCAGACTGCTTGTTTTGTGGGGGAAACCCATGCCCACTTCCAATGATTGAGGGATAAAAGGGAGCACTTGGTCTCCCACCTCAGCTGCAAGACAGCCTCAGGAGGCGCCAGCCTCAGGAAGTGGGCACAAAAAGCGGGCTGGAAAGCTAGCAGCAAGAGCAGTCGCCAAACAACCAGCTTAAAGACTCAGGAACGGGCCCTTCCCGCGGCTCGTATGCGGAGGCTATCACTACCCAGTCATCCTCGGAAGCAGGATGGACGCTTGGGGATCTCAAACCCGGGATCCGGAATGGGACGCTGGTGCAAAGGAAACGCACCTGAAACCAACTGTGGGAAAGGGGTTGACAAATAATTACTCAATTGACTCAATTAGTTTTGTGCAAGCACTTGATAAGCTCAATTCTCGGTGCTTCCCGAAAAGGGCCCCTCCTCCAAGTGGCGGGTGCATGCGGGTGCGATTGGCAGAATTCCAAGCCCGCAATGCGGGATCCCGCACGGAACCGTCATCACGGAAACGTCATCAATTTGAAGAACTATCAATCCACATTTGGTTTGGGCGTGTCTCTAGATAGGGGACTTCAAAAGCGGACTTGTTCAGTTTAGTTTCCCGTTAAATAAAGAACATCGGAAAAAGGGCATCCTCAAAATCATTCAAAACCAGACAGACCCAAATCAACAACTAAGTGCTATTTAGCGACCCCTGATCTTACGGCTCTGAGCCCTCAGCATCCGTGACCACTGCGAAGCACTCCTGGAAGGCTTCTGATGCAACTAATGCCACCAGCGGCAAGGCGTGTTCTAAGGGGGGACCCAAAAAACTGGAACGGCTTCCTTTTGGCTTCCCCAAGTGCGTGCGCCAGTTTCCCTTTGAGCAGCAGCAAGAGCGTCCAACCAACTTAGGACTTAGGACAGCCGAAAGCCGCTGCTCGCTTTTGTGCAAGGCCAAGCGCCGAGGCGAAGAGCACATCCTATTATTAAAACAACATACATATATATAAATATAAATATATATATATATATATATAAATACATATATATATATATATCCTAATACTTACACAAAAGTGTGGCCTGCGGCTGCAGTCTGCATAACGCCCCATGGAGATCCGTTTGTGCCCTAGCCAGCCTGTAGCCTACGCTATATCCCAGGTAGCATCGCAAGCCTCCCTGCAAAATCGCACTTGAAAAAATCACGGCTCAGTTCACCTCAGGAGGTGCATCCCTCCCCCCAAAAAAAGTCTGGCAACATCTGCGGGGAAATGTGGGGACTGGTGGAGACCTGGGGCAATCTGGCTATGGGTCAAAACCCTGTTGACAATCTGTCCATATCCTGGTGACTAACTTTCACTCTATACTTACCTTCCCATTCTTTCCAGGCATCCCCGGAAACCCAGGGAAGATGGCTGGTTTTTGAAAAAAACCGACGACTGAAAAAGAATGGACAAGTCAACCCCTAGACTCACCCCGCAATTTCCCAATCCCTAAAATAGTTTCCAAAATGGGTGGTGAATTCACCTACCCCAAAATGGTACCATTGGTGTTGACCCACAGCCATCTGTGATCCGAGGAAATCTGTCAAACAGAAATCGAATTGGACCAACCGTCTCGCGTCCTGGAAGCTCTGCATGAGCCACAGCAGTCCAGGCGCCATGGGCTCCAGAACCCGGTCAGCCACGACTGAACCGTCCACTGCCAGGAGGTCCAACCTCCCAATGAGAGGTGCGGGATCTTTGGGCAAAATTCAAGGCTTCCCCTTGGCTTCTGTTCAATCTGGCGGTTGCGCATTGAATACCTTTTCCTATCAAACTGCAAATTAGACCCTGAGGAACCACTGGGGCACGAGCTTGTTTTGACAAGAGCTTGCTATCTCGTGTGCAGAACCATTCCCGTGCCGTTGTCAACACAGAATTTGGGGAGGAGACAGTTCTGAAGGGGGAGAACCATGCACCCTTTAACCCAACTGGCTTTGACATATCCCTACATTGACTAAATCCTATGGTACACACCCTCCTCCCAACATGGCCGTCTTTAAACAGCGCTGTTGGAGTGTGAGGTCCCCAGGGATGTTTCCTTTTGAACATTTGTCAGACTTCCCAATATAAGAAGCTAACACTTGGTTTCCTCCGCGGAATTGATACTTTGCCGATGAACCCAAGCAAGCCGCACGGCAGCGTGCTGAGCACCGCACTCCAACGCGCGGACCAATTCTTCCTGGTATTCAGTGCCTGGCATGGTGACCAATGGGCCCCTTTGAAAACCAGTGGCCCGGTGACTCTGGTACAGAAGTAGGGAACCGAACGTCCTTACTGAGAAGCCACCAAACACAAAAGGAGACAGGGTGCGACTGAGCAACTAAAGGGTCACCACTTCGTCAACTCGGATGGCTCCCGGGGCAACATCGCTCACGGAGATGTAAATTCTCTGTGGCACAAGTCCTGAGTTCATTGGGTGCAAAGCGCTTTATCGTGCGAGATCTCACAAGGAGCCAGCAAACGGCGATTGACAAAAACAACCTTAACGGTTCATCTACGAACAAATCGGGCGGCCAGCTGGCCGGGAAGATTAGGCCAAACAGCCATTCATTGTAATTACAAGCAAATACCTTGTGCAGCTCATGCGACCATAAATACAACTGCTTGCACGAAGCAGCATACCCTGCGCATCACCCTTTTGTTTAAGGGGTCAGGAATTGGCAGTGAAGCACACTCCAGCAAGCCGTGGCACTAGCGCTTCATCCCCACTGTCCTCTTGTCCTTCAGCTTCACACCAGATCGGGAAGGGCAATTGACAAAAGTGGGAGTCCTTTTGGCACCCTAGTCAGATTTTGCATCATCCTGCTAGTGGTTGGGTCTCAACAACCATTTTGTCAACGTCCCTCCCCCCCCCTTAACGGTTCAAAGGTCAGCTGCTTCTCTGCAAACAATTGGGGGGGCAGCCGCATTCATGGGGGTGAGTCTGCCAAATGCGTCACTTGGGACCCTTTACTCAGCCATGGTGACAAAGAAACCCCGATTTTTGTTACTTGGTTTACGAAGGGGTTCATTTTTTTGGGGGGGATTTTTTGGTGGACATCATTTAGCCGGGGATTGATGTCCACCAGCCACTTGGGAGGTGGCGCCCAAAAAAAACATGAGGGAGTCTGAACCATGCCGCTTGGCCACTGGGACTTGGCGGGTGGGCACCTTGAAAGCCGCCCAGGATCAGCATGTCCACAGACCTAGCCCCCCGTGGCATTTCGCGCCGCCAACCTCGATGTTTCCCATGGAAAGGACCAAAAAACGGCAGGTTCACACCAAAAAACAGCAGGTTCACACCATGAAACCACTGAACCATCGGACTGCAGGTTTCCACGTGACAAAAACATGTCAGAGAGCCATGGACCTGCAAGCTCAGCTCAGCTGCTGGCCTTGGCCCCAACTCCTTCCTGGCAGGCCACAAAAACAAAGACGGAAGGACAGGCTTACTCGCCACAAGCACGCTGGAAATAGGTGAAGCCTTTGGAAGTCTTGTACAAATGGTGTTTGGGATAATGTATGTGCGTGATTTTGGGAAGCTTCTCCCATGCTTAGCATGGCTGACTGAGGAAGCCGGGATGTGACTAAGAAGGCTAGGCAGAAATTGGCGGATACTTTGGTACCTGGAATTTGGAGCCCAGAATGTGGATTTGTTGTCTAACATCGTTTATGAAGGAATCCGACGGTAGCATCGCTGCCTGCTTGAGAACATGTGATGATGCGTGGAGGTATCACTGAGCGGCAGCTCGCAAATTTACCGGGAAACATACTATAGGACATCCGCCCAAAGACAGCCTTTACCTTGCAAGTGTTGCTGTTACAATAGTATCTAGCTGAAAAACTCCCACATCCAGTAATCTTGACCCCACATTCATAAACCCCGTTTATTATATGGGGGTGTCCCCTGGTTGTGGGGCTCCATCACTTTTGGAGGGGCCCCCACCGCCAAATCAATAACAACTGGGGTTGCTCAGATTTTGGGTCAACCGTTAGGCAAACAATCTCCCAAAGGCAGCCAAAAGCTTTAAAAGGTAACACCTGCCAGAGATATTTCACCTCCGTCACCTCTGGGTCGAAAAACGATACTACTACTACTTCTTCTACTATTTCTTCCTCTACTAGTACTACTAGTACTACTAGTACTACTACTACTAGTACTACTACTACTACTACTACTACTACTACTACTACTACTACTACTACTACTACTACTACTACTACTACTAGTGCTACTGCTACTACTACTGCTAGTGCCACTGCTACTACTACTACGACTAACAATAATGATCGTAATACTCGTAATAATAATAAACAACAAAAGATCCGCGCCTGAGCTGAGGAAGCAGCTGCTCTCCCCTGCCTCATAACGCTTTTGTTGCATGGCCGAGCTCACTGCGCGAGCAGGACATGTCTGGCCTCAATTTTTTACCATCAAGGTCACCCGCGAAGTGGTGGGGCTAAAGGGACACCGCCCCACCTTGTTTCTGACTTTGATCACCCCCCAAAAGCAGTCAAAATAATGACCCCAGAATTTGGGACCTCTTTGGCAGGTGGTAGACATGGATAAGGTTTGGCTTTTTGTAGTTGAAAAGGTTCACTTGCTTTGGACGTTATTGAAATGTACAAGTGAAAGTCAATTGGGAGACCACAAGGTGAAAAGGCGGATTCGCTTTCAGCGCGAGTAAAAAAGTGGTGTCTCAAAAAGGGAGACCCCAAGATTGCAGCTTTGGCTTCCCTCACCCAAAAGGGCCCTTTACCGATTTGGGTTATCCCCAATCGAAGGAAACATGGCATTACAAAGATCGGCTGCCACAACAACCTTCTGGCGATGGTGGCGATGCTAGGACGCGGAGAATTCCGAAGTTTTGAAAACACGTGTCAAAACTAGGTCTCCCTGTTGACATCGTGGTTCCTTGTTATCGGCAAACAAGCTGGAGCATCACTAGTTGCAAAGGCCCTTCTTGATTCCGGCATTGGTAGCTTGTTGTCGCAACCATTGGGGAATTCAGGCACCAACAAACCTTGTCAAGCTTGTCTGCCCGCCGCATCACACATTGCTTCACAGCTATAGCGGGGAGAACCACTGCGGCCTAATGGTGACTATGGGTGACTAGTGGCCATTGACGACTTTTAAGGGCCGCAATCTTGTCATGGCTCCCCTTGCTATCACGGTAAATCTCAGCAAAGGTCTCAGCCGCGCATCCTCAGGTGCTGACCAACACGGACGTCCACGTTGCCAAACTTGCCGGCTCCTGCCCAACTACTCAGCCGCAAAGCGCGCATCTCTCAAACCGAACCAGAACTCCAATCCCCTTCCAGAAGCACGCGCTGACGGCGGCATTGTCTGCAACAGCAATGTCTGTTGCAACAATCAATGGAGAAGCTTATTGCAGGATCCTGCTCATGGGTCTTCAGACCCGAGCACCAAATTCCCCCCAAAAGTCACCAACAAAATATTCGAACCTTAGAAGACCCCTTTCTTCAGAGTAATGTCCCTGAAGACCGACCGCACACTCTGGGGTCCCCTACCAGATCCGGTGCCAGCCCACTCGTTGAGGCAAATGGCAGCAGCGCTGCGCACCTTGCTCCAAATCGTGGACGCCTTTGCACACCTCCAAACGCGGCCAGGACGCCAAAAGCCCCAAAGGAACCGGCGAAACTGTGGCAATCAAAAACACATTCAAATTAAGTTGGTTGACACCACCGACCACTACCAGAAAATGCGGAAACACTTCCGCGCACAGTGTGGCTTTCTCGCCCATGTTCAATGAGGGCCGGTGCTGTTCAGGGCAGTGGAACCCATCTTAGACACAACGCCACGGCAACGGCCAATCTGCGCTCAGCCAGCCGCAGGATCAGCATCGCAGGTAATGACCTCACAGTGGGGAGCGCTGAGATCACAAAGCCACTAAATTGAAGGTCCTCTGCCACACAACCCGTGCAACTTTCGGGAACGGAGTCTGGCTTTGTGAAATGGCCCCTCCTGTTTGGGCTTCATGATGATTTGTAGGAAATATGAAATCCGACAGAGGGCCCAGGTTCGGAGGGATTTGGTCTGACAGGCGGTCCGTATGCCCCTATGTGCTGTGCATAAGAGTCCCTTCCACTGATACAGACATGAATCTCAAACTTGGGAACTTTTTGGCAGACAAAATTATCATCGGGATTTCTGCCTACCACTCATTTTGGGAGGCCGGTCCACAGTTTGATACCCACGTGGCTTCCCACCCTTTTGGCCATGCTGTAGCGAGATCCGAATGCAAACGCGGGTGCCTAGTGGGACCTTGGCTCGAGCCAAATGACCTTCCAAAAGACCCCGAGTCGGGCCTGTACATGGCTTGAACCCACAGCCAGCATGCATCTGGCTGTAAATCCGCCGTGCCCTTCGCGTTCTTGCGCTTGGTCTATGTTAAAATCAGAGCGACCAGCTTTGGGTGATGGTGGAATTCCTGCTGGCAAAACTCTCTGACGGAAAAGATATTCGCGTGTAACCATTTCCGAACGCCATGATTGGCATCGCTTGCAGGTTGGGGACACGCAACATGCGTGCGATGCCAAACCGATCAAGCATGGGTAGGGCTTTATACAGACGGGTGCAGGTGTTTTCCTCCATCATCCATCATCCCATCTGCGTCACAGATTCTCGGCCATGAACTTCTCCACATCCTGCCACGAGAAGGCCTTCAGCTCTTTGTCCTCGGTTCACGCTTTGCCTTTCGCCCAAGAATCACTTGGCTGCATGCTGTTTTGCAAGAAGTCCAAAGCCTCAAGTACAGATTTGGTCTTTACCATGGTGGCTCGTTTTGTATCCCCCCTATCAAATAGGCAGGCTGGGGTAGGCAGACTTGGGGCACGGGGTGTGATGTCCTTCAACGCCGCGCTCGCGTCTGACTCGAAGTCTTTCAGGCCGTACTCCTGGCGTTCCTCCTGGAAACAAAGCAAAGGCCCAACATCGTCGACACAAAGACCGAGTTAAACCTGCACCATGCACATAATGGAACTCCGAAAGGAGCAAATGGGGCGGTTGCAGAACGGCTTGAAGTTTGTGGAATGCAGTCGCGCTACCTTGATTAGGAAATAACATAGCTTTATAGGCGCGACTTCTTGATGCAACCCAGAATGTAAAAAAAGCATCCGCAAAACATGTATCTACAAATCAATGCAACATCTAGGGCATTTTGGATGACTGCCAAAACAAGCACTGTAACACCACAAGAAACATGATCTTCTAAACAACACCACGTGGACGTGCAATATCTCTGATCTGCAACTGACTCATTGCAGCTCCATCCTAAAATTGAAACGGACTGGAGAATTCAGCAGCTCACAGGTGCCACAAGCTGAGTCAAATCGACGAGGTACAAACAGGGGGGTTGCAGGCAAACCACAAGGAAAGCCCCGCTTGTTCAACAAACGCTCAAGCTGAATCCATTGCTGACTGAACCTTGTTTACCCAATGGCCTTCCGCCTAATCTCTCTTTCCAGCTGAAGCAGAATGCAGAACACAAGCAAAATGCAACTTGAGCTCAAGGCTTGGAGCCACAAGAGTTGAGCACTCAACCAATCACCAAACCACACCTCCACGACCGGAGAATGTGAAACAAGTGCGACACTTGCTAGAGGATCCCAAAGGTTCTTGCACGCAAACAAATCCCAAAACACCTCACTGGATGTCTCAAGTCTCATATCATGGACAAAGGACTCAATGCACTCATTTTTTCCGTCAATGCCATCTATCCTTACAAGATGCGTGTCTCTCGTGCCAAGATAGTGCTGTTGCCCAACAATTTTGGCAAACTATGCGGCCCAAAACATTAGAACAAGGTTGCGGGATACTGCAATTGACTGTGCCTCATGATCATGACAGAATCATGCTGCAATTATTTAGCCCCTGACATTTCCGAGAGGACAACTAATTACACCTGCAGGGGGCTTGCACATTTTGGCAAAGTTACAGGTGTTCTTGAACTAGCCAAGCCTGCCCTGCTAGCCGAGTAGACATGACTGGAAGCAAAAGTGCGCGTCTGCAGCTTCTTCTCTCCAGTTGTCTTCAAGGCCCCTCAAAAACACACCATTTTCCCTGCTCTCAACCAGTTGTTGTTTCTCTTCCCACGAGACCTGTATACCCATTTCTTTTCAATTTTCTGCTCAAACAAAGCCACTCTGCCGAAGAATCCCACAAAAAACGGTTCGATGGAACTCGGGCCAACACCCACCTGGCGACGCACGCTGCTTCCGCAGATCCCTGTCCTGCGTGAAGAGCAGCTGGTGCACCTGGCATCTGGGCCATGGCAAGGCGCTCTCTTGAAATCTGCTGAGCCTTGAATACCGGCAGGGGCTCCGGGTGAATTGCGGGGGATCCTCGAACTTTGGGCCGCGTTTAGAGCGACCTGCTTGGGCTCCAAGATCATATGGCCCTCCTCCTCCTTGGCCTCAGGGTGCTCCTGAAAGGCCGTCCTGAAGGCACCAGTTTCTCGGATGTTTTGCGCCGCAGCTGAGGGTGGGGCTCCCCACGAACCCTCAATTCATCAAATGGAGGAACTCTCCTTTGGGAGATGGACACCCTTGCTGGGTTCCCTGTCAGCTGCCGGGGAGTACCCTATTGAAGAGGGGAAACTAGGGTTGTTTTCACCGAATGTCCCGAACCCCATGTCCCGAACCCCATGTTCCGAGCCCCATGTCGCAAACCCGAAATTGACCACAACAGGAAGCATTGACTGAACCAGATTGATCTCCCATTTCATTTGTTTTACACTGTGTGGCCATTGCGAAGGGAAACTTGCAGCGAACTCTCCGATCACATTGCTTCTCGATTCTTGCTCACCGGTCCTGAGAAGCTCGATTCGCGCTGGAGGAAAATCCATTGGCTCCCACTTCTTCTCAGCCATGGCGCGTGGCTGCTCTGCCATGGCGTGCGGCTGCCGACGGGCCGTTGTGATCAGAATGACCAAACTACCAAACTCTCACACACAGAGTACGTCTGGCTTCGCTGAAGGCTGTAATTTACTGTAATCCTCGCAAATCCACGGGCCTGTGCACTTCACCCATGCTGAGCCCAGCAGAATCTGATCGACTTGCGCATGACCTATGAGGCCACAAGTGACTTAAAGGCTGCGCGGGTGTCGAAACTAAGCACCGCTCGGACCGGAGAAAAACAACAACAAACAACAGTGCAAAGCAATCCCCTGAGGCCTTGACCAAGCCGCCAGAACTTGCCAGTCGCACTGCAGCTCTCATGGAGGCCTCGTTACTCAAACGTCGCAAGGGCAGCGCCTTGCACCTCCAATTTTGCTCATATGCTCGTCCGTGAGATAGGGCTGCCTATGTGCGACGATGTGGCTGGTTCCCCAAAGTGAGGCAATCAGACCGCAAAGCCATGGTAATCCTCGGCTCTTTTGCACTAATGGAGCTTGTAAACGATTTGAACCAAACTAAGCAGTGCCATCTAGGTTAACCCAAATAGACCTAAAAGAACGCTCAGGCTTCCCTTCTTCCCTGCTTGCAATGCTTCGGGCATCTAGCGAAATATGAGGCTTATTAACAAGAATCGGGTTCTGGAGCACTGCAAGTCTCAGTTATGACCATGTGATCATGTTTGTAATGACTTAGCCCTTTGCATCATCCCCCGGCAATATCAAAGGCCCAAGTTTCAGGCACAGCCGACACCGCAGCCCAGCTCGACCACGACGCATCTCCTGTGGCCAAGTCTCTTCACAGAGATCAATTTCACGACGAGTTTCCTGTTTGCTTGAGGGATCCCCTTTTCTTCAAAGGACAGGACACGCTCCTTGGAGTGAGTTTGCGTCTTACATGGAAATCAGCCACTCAATTTGGGGAAATAGATGCAGAACATCGCATTCCGCGGGAGACATAAGCAATGGCCCTTCGTGTGCCAAAAAAAGAGCCAGATTCAAGCTCAAAAGGCGCCACCATGACGCCAATCAACTGGAAGCGTTCCGGCATTGGACTCATTCCCTTCTGACTTTGGGGCGGTCTACCGAATGAGTGCGAAACGCTTGTGCCGTCGGCTTCTTCTCTTTGAAACCAGCGACCGGCAGAATGCCAGCAATGGCAACTCCCTAGGGGTCCTTTTCGAACAAATAATCGCTGGCAGCAAGTTATATCTCTAATGCAAACTAACTTGGCACTCAACAAACTGTCATCTTTAAAGGCAGTTCCTGTTGTTCGCCCAAACTGATCGTTCCAAGTACACCTGTGCCTGTGACAACTCCCAATGCGCCCCGACCTCTTTGGCAGAAGTGCCAAAGCTGCGTCCAGCGCAGCTCCTCCTCAAGGGCTGGCGCATGTCTTCACTCCGTTTGGCCCTGCCTGAATCAAGCACTGTTATCTTGCCACGAGTGGCTCCAAACTATGCATGGAAGTACATCCTGCTGACCCACGACACTGCGGGCTCTTGTGTTTGAATACCAGGCCTGCCACAAAGGTATCACAATGTGCAGGAAACTACCTTCATACATTCATCAGCCGGTGAATATGCAGTTTTGCGTCCTCGTGTCAACCCAACAGTTTCATGGCAAACGATCTTGCTACGCCTTCCTTTCGGAATGAACAATGTGGAATGTGGGGTTGTGCAGCCAGAAACCATGGGCACGCCCACCAGTGAATCTTGCAACTGCCCAAATTCGAGGCATTGCATATCAAGTTCACGAGGACCTAACCAGCTGGGTCTTCGAGCCGCAAAGCCGCTGAGCCCCGCACGTTGACCCGCGCCCAACTGAAGAATCTCCCAGTTCTTGGAGGCCTACCAACGTCCAAATCCCTTCACTGCGAGGGGACGACCTGCGTCAACTCGAGCCCTGGACCCCAGCCCACGCCAGCGTTTGATAGGTCACCAAATAACCCCAAACACGCTACCCGCATCAAATGTCGCCACCTTGCACATCCAAAAAGGCTACTCATACCATTTGAGGGCCCCACTTCCCCGCTAAAAACAATCAATAAGCCCAAGGCATCTGGAATAAACTGTTACCCGGTTGACTACAAATTAATCAAACTGGGAAAACCGAAGAATCCAAAGGGTCGACGCGCTTTTAAGAACTGGGTATGTGTCAAAATACAAGGGCCCCCCTACGCTCAAACAAACGCTACCTGAGACAACGACGCCGGCTTGGCCTCTGCAGCCTTCAGCAGCTCGGCGGGGCACTGTGGCGGCGTAGCGCTGCAGAGATGACGCACCTGCCAGAATATTTACCACATGGTGTTGGCAGGCAGCCATTCTAGTCTGACTGATTCCATGTTCAAGTAAGTGGCCAGAATACCGGATCCAGATTCGGATCCAGAGGTTACTTCACCGCGACACTTCTGATGAAACCACACCCAAAGTCATTCTTCCATTGCCCGAATCTCGTCAGTATCTTGCCGTTCAGTTTTAAGCCACAAAAGCACGCACGCGCAAGCACCAACCAGAAACTATCTAACACCAGGCTCGCTGCGGAAAGTCTCTCTGAGGCCGCAGCCAACGACAGCTCCTTGCTGTACCTTGGGGGCCGCAGAGTGTCAATTTTCGTCGCTACCTTCCCCCAAAAGGAGCAAGACTCCTGGGCTGTCTGCCTACTGCGAACGGAGCTCGGGGGGGAATCAGCCGCAACTTACTTGCGACCTGGAATCCAAGCTTAACCCTTGAGCTGGACTAAAATGAAATATAAAATAGTAACCCAAAGCTCGAAAGGTCAAGTCGCTTTGTTGCAAGAGGGCAACAAACACGCTTAGGCTCCACCTTGCCTTGTGTTTGGACCTCAACCTGGCCACTGCTCCTTGGTGAGTCCAGGTTGACGCCCTCCAAGTCGGGCACTCCCCCCGCGCCCAGTCGCCGGAGACGGTATCCGCGCCGAGCCCCACCTTGGCCAGGGCTCCAAATGTTTGGGTGCCTTTCAGGGCATGCAGCTGAAAAGGGGACTATGAAAACGACCTCCTTTTGGTTGGAAGACAAGGGAATAAGTCAAACCGGAAGAGTCAAATATGTCAAATGCTCGCGAAATAGTGTTGCCACGCGTTCAAGCTGCAACTTGTTAAAGTAGGTTTAACAGCCTTCGGACTGCCAGGTAGCAAAATCATGTCCCCAAACCACAAAGAAAAACAACAGAATTGGAAGTGTGCCGTTTTCTGATCTTCAATTGCCCAGCTACGGTTCTGCATCAAATTGCCGTCTTTGGACACTGCGGACGAAACTGCGGCGAAGCGATCGCGACAAACATCAGCTGAGGAGCTGGCCCGGTTTCGGAGTTGGTTGGTTACCATGTCGCATTCTCCCTGAAACCATCAACTAGATCCATTGAAACTGATGGGTTCTCAAATTACTCTCTTGGGGGTGGCTTACCGGCTTACCTTTAACCAGCGTTTGGAAGGTCATGGTGAGGCTGTCACCTTCATGAACTCAGCCACTTTACCCCTCGCTTCCCAAATCCCAAGAACCACCGGCACCTTTCATCGCTGAATTGCAGAGGTCATATCAATCCATGTCCGCAACCACCACTGCCTGCAATTTTGTCCATGCCGCTGCAAAAAGGGAGTGCCAAAAGAAGCGACTCATTGAAACGAAGCACCGTGATACCAAAGGCCCACAGTTGCCGCCTCCTGCTGCAGCAAAGTCAAAGCCCAGCGGGCGAGATCCTCACGCCCAGCGGCCAACGCACGAGCCTCGGTTCGACGGTCACAGAGCCGCTGCGCATAGCGGGAAGCAAAAACAATGCTGGTCAGAAAACTTGTCCAACCAAAAACGCCACTGTTTTGAGCAACTGAGAATGCATGTGACAAAGAAAAATCAAACTCATTGCTTTGCATGGTTTTGCTTGGTTAGAACGGAGTGAATGGAGGTTCTCTCATTTTGCCCTGTCTGAGACACCTGAGAGATGCTACTGGCGCTTCGTCTGCCAGCACCGTAGCCATAGACGCCTTCATGCCAACCCAAGTCTCATTTACTGTAGGAGACAAAACGAGGCGCCTGCAGAAATGTGACGCTTCGCACCAGTGTTGGCTTTGCAACAGCAGCGTCCCATACTGAACTGTGGCAAAGGGCGCATGTTTATCCAGGACCAATGATGCAAACAAACCGTTTTAGGCAAGTCTAAGGAGCATGCGCCTAGAGTAGGTACCCCTGAAAAGGACTGATATACAGACATACATATATACATATAATTATATCTATATTGGTACACATGGCAGTAATTCTAAATTAATTCGGCCTTCTTGGCGAAATCAAAATTGAATTCGCGGTTTCACCGCTGTGCACTTTGCGTTGCTAAAGTCTCAAAGTCGCAGGTTTCAAGTACCGGTGCAGTACGCAAAATGTGCTTCCGCAACTTCAACTGTAAAGCCTTTCAAACACAGGGGTGGTACATACATGAAATGCACTTCCGCAGCTCCGGCTGGAAAGTCGAAACTTTTCAGCCATTTTCAGCGCCAGCACCCGAAATGCACTTCGGCAGCTCCATCTGGCAAGCCGCAACTGTTCAGTGCTAAGCCAGTGCACGAAATGCACTTCCGCAGGCCCAGCTGGAAGTCGCAACTTTGCAGTACCAAGCTAGTACACTGACTAGCGCGGCGCTCAGACCCCTTGCAATCGGAGCTTGCGCTTTCGCGGATCTTTCGCGAGAAAAAACACATCTCAGAGCGTAGAGCCACCGACTGACACCCGCAAACACACACACACACACGTGGAGCACTAGCCAGCCAAGCAGGGTTTCACACTGTAGCCTCACCAGTCTTATCAGCGCAAAACCAACTTTTTCCTCAGCGGAAGAAGAAAGGCTCAACAGACAAGATGCACTGCTGTCACATGTCCCTGATTTCAAGATGCAGTTGCGCAAAACTCTCGCGAACAACAACGTTACTTTCGCAACTCCGTCGCGAATCTTTCGCGGAGGTGCCTCAACCAACACTGACGGGCACCGAACACTAAACTCCTTACAATGACCTTTAGAACGGGTCCCACATACCCTTTATGCTCCCTTTGCCTATGTTGTATTAGGACTATGCCTGTGGGACGAAAGTGCATAGTCATACACATAAAAGCGTGCACACATGCAAAACTAGGCAGAAAACGAAACAACAGCACATGCAAATCAAAACAAGAATAACAAACAGGAGAACAAAGCAACAGTCGTAAATGATGATGGTGATGGTGTTTCACTCATTCATTGTTTGACTGAGTGTTGGTTGCTTGGCTGCTTGATTGCTGCTTGGTTGGTTAGTTGATTGGGTGATTAGCTGAGTGGGTGGGTGGCTGGCTGGTTTGTTGCTTGGTTGGTTTCTTGTTGGTTACTTACTTACTGTTCGTTGGCTGGCTCCTTGGTTGGTTTGGTTGCTTGACGGACTGCTTGGTTGCTTGGTCGGTTGGTTGGTTGATTCGGCGGTTGGTGATGGGTGATGATGAGGCTTTTTCTGGAAGCAGTCACATCCCCATCTAAATGATAGGGGGCTGCCGAATCCATTGCCAATCCCCGTTTCGCCTCTCGCGCTCAAGGTCAGGCAAAGAACATGGAACAGTGAAGAAACCGCCGCAGGTGGGAGGCCCACTGCGGCCAAAATTGCAGTCAACTAAAGCCAAACCCAAAAGCATTCTATTCATGACCCAACCACAATGGCAAAAGCCATTCAATAGCCGCAGGGATGTAAAGCAACCGGCCAAGCACCGCCCCCGCACAACTGATCTAATAAAGGGGGTCTCCCTTGCAAGAACAACCACTAGAACAAATTGAAATCCAAGCACCCTAGTCTGGGCCCTGTCGCCTCCGAGGCAAAGTTGTACGTGAGAGCAAGGCGTTTGGTATGCTGAGCTGCAATTTGTCGGTGGGACAGTCAGCTGCCATTTCAGCAAACAAATGCTCCCAGCCGTTTGTGACCACCAGGCTGCGAATACTGCCAGCGCAGCAGCAAGTAGGTCGCAACACCAAAGCCCGATGCGTCCACGGCGCGCTTGAAGTTTCGTCCTGCAACTCTGTTTGAGGAGCGGCTTTTGGTACAAAGGTGTGGCCTCAGTCTATTCCTGTCCTGCTGCCACTTCTGGGGCCTGGTGGTAGTCGGCTCCGCGTGTGCCGTGGGAGCGGGGCAGCTCTGCTCAACTCCTCTCAAAGAACTGGTAAGCAGTCCGCGGGCTCGAGCTTCATGGCCAGCCCAGAGTTGATCAACTTGACCTCGGGCAAGGCTTTTCTGACCAGGATGCCATGGCTGGAAGATTTTCTGGTTGGCAGCTGCCCTGAGCCAGTAACAAAGCATCGACACGAACATGTGGTAATAAACATGCTCCATCTGAAGCAATCTGCCACAGCTCACGTCCCTGCATCATTTGCTCAAGCTCGCGTTGCTCTTGCGGTTCTTTTGAGCCTGGCCGAGGCATGCACCGCGCATCGATTGCATTAAAATACAATAACTAGAGTAAGGAAAACAGTAGTCATCAATACATCATAAACGATACATGCCAAAAAACTGAACACCAAACACTAAACACTAAATACTAAGGTACTAGGTACTAAATACAAAGTACTATATCTTCTAGCTTGTTATTAGTACCAGTACCAGTACCAGGATCAGTACCAGTACCAGTTCCAGCTCCAGCACCAGCACCAGTACCAGTTCCAGCACCAGTACCAGTTCCAGCACCAGTACCAGTAGCACCACCAGTACCAGTACCAGTACCAGTACCAGTACCAGTACCAGTACCAGTACCAGTACCAGTACCAGTACCAGTACCAGTACCAGTACCACCACCACCACCACCACCACCACCACTACTACTTCTACTACTACTACTACTACTACTACTACTACTACTACTACTACTACTACTACTATTCCTGATACCATGAATAATATTTCCTACATATAGACATATATCATATCTGTATCATAATTTAATGTATATCAGGGGCACCTACCACAAGAGTGGACGTTGGGGATTCTACTCAGCGAGCAAAGCTGATGCCAATTCTCTTAGCTCCAGGCAGCAGCAGCATTCAGCACCTGGGCTCCGTTCTCGAAACTTGAGGTACTGCCAGCGAACCTGCATTGAAAGCTGAGCTTGGGGTAAACTGCCAACTGAAGCAGAGGCTTCCCCCCACTGACCAACCCCTCTCGGAGCTCTGATTGCGTCCTACGGAAATGTTGTAGGCTGGCTCGCTCAGGGCATCGACTCGAGGTCAATCAAAGCTGAGCATCACACGAAGGTGCTGCGGGGAATGCCATCGCAGCTTGCGGCAAGGCCTGCGGATAAGGGCATCGCACCGTTTCTTTTTGACGGCAAGGGACTTGAGCGTCCCTGGCCCCTCTTCTCTTTGTTCTTTGACGAGTCTCAAAAGGAATCCACAGGCATCGCAGCCCCAACAACCATCGGCCAGTTTTAAGGAGTTGGAGCCCAGGAAGTTTAGCAATACTACTTTTGAATTGCTTTGGTCAGCTTCCAGGAAGTCTGGCAAAAGTTCTTTCGAATTGGTATTGCAGTCAAATTCCAGGACGTTTGACAATACTACTTTGAAAGGGGCAACGCTACGATTGAGTTGTTTTTGCATTTCCAGGAAGTGACCCAAATCATTAGCTTTATTTAGGATATGACTTATTTAGTGCAAATGACTTTGTGGGGGCTACCCTTGTCTGATTGTTTTGGTATAGTTTTTGAGCTTTAAACAAACAAATCATCATGAACATGGACACCCAGAAATTGTGCTTTTTGTTTGCTTCTGGACTGGTCCAAAAATAGGGGTTGGCATGGTCAAAAAAAGATAGGGGAGAAACAACTTAGCTTTGTTTAGGGGTATTTCATTTGTTGTTTTGAAGGCGTGCTTACGTAGCTTCATGCAGGGGGGTTTATTCATCATAGGTGGACATTAGTATGCCCTGTTGGAGAAAGCTGTTGCCAACTGCCAAGTTGGCAGTTCCGGCTGCGAAGTCTTCAGATAACCAACGATTGTGGCAGGATTCCACCTCCGTGTTCTGCAACATAAGCAACCGGGGGGCCTCTGTCTTGGGAAGCATCCACAGGGACCAAATGCCGAAGCCCACAGCAAGCCAGAGTGCGTCTGCCAGAGTCAAACAAAGTCTCACCTCACTACAGTTTGTAAGCATTGCTGGTGCAGCTTACGAACTGACACTAAAGCTCCGGACTCCGAACATGCTCTCGCCACTCCGCGTAAACACATGAACACACCTGAGGTGTGTGTGTGTGTGTGTGTGTGTTTTCCACGGAACCAAGTAGGCCACGACATGCAGATCCGCCAGCTTCAGGTTGAAGGGGAGAGTGAAAGATTGCTGACATGCAAAGTCTGCAAGTAACATGATCATTGGTGGGACGGGGGATGTTTTGTTGTTTTTTTTCCAATAAGGGAAGTGCCTCACGAGACCCGCCAATTCCCCAAGCGCATGATTTGGCCCATGAGGATGTTGCCAACGAGAGTGGCATCATCATTCCAATGGAAGCTGAACCTGCCATTGGACAGCTGAGTACTTCTGGGTCACCTCTGAAATCGGAAGATGTTTCAACTGGGTTCCCAGTAGGAGTTCCCAGTCAGGGTTCTAAGAACCTGTCTGGGCTCAGTTCGAATACCGCCTCTCCCAAACAGCAAGATGGAAAGCATGTCTTGGTTCACAGGTGCAACAGGGAAGCCGGCATGTGCCACAAGGTGAAGATCAACCCGGATGTGCCCATCTCACAGCCTCCCCCGCCTGACCAGGCGGTAGCCTCCAGCTGGGCGTCCCCAATGGAAGCAGCGCCCCACAGCCAGGCGCTCCAGGCCTGTGCGAAAACACCAAAAACCATGGGCCATGGGTCACACCAAATTGGGGGTTTCAACAACCAAGCAAAACCTATCTGGGCCATGTCCCAAGTACATAACATGTACAAACCTATCTGCAAATTCAACAATTCCACAACCTGACACAAGCATTGGATGCCCAAGTAGAGGACATTCATGGTGAGCTCGTGTTGACCGCAAGGCGAGCTGAATAAACGGGCAGACCTATGCATGTGCGAAATCAAACCGGCCCCAAATACCGGCAACACTGGGTGGTAATGGCTTGGACCTTCATGCTGGCTAAAGCCTCAAAAGGCCAGAACCATCCCAAGAAACCATGGCCCTTTGACCATAGCACTCATGGCACACAGCACACATCTCGCATGTCAATTTGGATACGAAAAGAGACACCCCCGAAAATGGCTTTGGAATGGCCTCTACCTTAAACGGCGCGGTCCGCAAATTCCACTTGTCTCCTCTTTCCCTGAAAATTGGCCACCACCAAAGAGGGCCACAGTTTCTTGTGCCAACTCGACCCAAGTCCTCAAGAATTACCAAACTAGAATTCGGCCAACTCTAAACCAATACTGAACCACCTTTGTTTCTCGCCGGGCCCACGCAATGGGTCGTTAGTGGGCCCACTGCCCATTCCAGAAATCAATATACAACACAAATAACACATGCATTTCTGGTATTTACCCCCCTTACTAGGAACCCACCTAAGTTTTTGCGCCCAAGCGACGCCACCGGACACCACATCGCCTTCAAAACTTCAGCCAGAGACATGAAGTGCTGCCAGACTATGATTTGTCCGGCATCTATCGGGTGTGGGCTCTTCTTGGACAAGGTCTGGCCTAAAAACTGGTGTCCATTTTGCCTCTTGCTGGCTCGCAAGTGGCCCTGCTCGTTTGCTCTTCCCTTAATCCCAGCCAGATGCACCTTTCCTAAAGAACTCACCAATTCACAAATTCGCGCATTGTGCGGCCCCAACTCTGGATCGTCTCCTACAAAAAGCATAACGGTGGATGTGGACCTTCCATCGGCTCTTGCGAAACAGTGCGTCGCAAGAAGCCGCAACGTTGGCGTTACGACCCATGGTTGCACAAGCACAGCGGCAACTCGAAGCGCAAAGCGCGATGGGAAATCCAACATGTCACAATTCCTTCAAGCTGTTCTAGACTGCACTGAATTGAAGCTTCGCAAAGTTAGAAGGGGCAATTGGGCAGAGCTCGCGTCAAACCTGGTGCATCACGGCAAACCAGAAACTCACTTTCCTCCCCAGGAGGTGTCGCACACCATCGCTGACCAAAAAGGCTCCCATCTTGTCTTGGCTGATCCGCGAACGGCAGAAAAGGGTGAAGCAATCAAGTTGCGGTTTTGACAACTGCAGCCATCAACTCAGTCACGTCCCGTCGCCTCCACCCCTGGGGACATCAGGCCAAGAGCCTGCACGAAGATTTGACGCCAACTTGCCGCCCTGATTGGGACCTCTTTACCTTTCTTCCTGGTGGAAGGCGCCAGTTCCCTCAAAGGCTCCGTGCACCGAACCATGTTTGGGGAAAAAACAACCCTAAGGCGGACGGGGGAAGGCCACCCTTCCAAGCGCAGCTGTACCGCAGCCACATGTTGGCACTCAGACATATTTCCAAGACTTTGAAGCTTACTTCCAAGGCAGCCGCGTCGAAGTCGTTGAGCAGTGCTGCTGCTGCTTGCGACAGGCCCATCTCCTGAACCCGAAGCTTCCCTACATCTCCTCTCTGATTGCCTATTACCCCACCAGTGAACTCATCTTGGTGAAACTGAATTATTGCCCAAGGGGATTGGTGAGGCCGCAGACCCAAAACCTTTGTAAGTTCTCGAAACAGGTTCTCTCCAATATGCAACCTGGAAGAGTCCCTAGTTTTTTCAGAAACAACCTCTGTACTTGGTGGGTACATCACTTGGACTCTGCCCGGGCCCTCTAAATATGAATGATACTTCAAACACACGTGGTGTGGAGTCAATGTGAGTGGAGTACGTGTGGGCACAACCAGGTATGACGTTCATTTGCCGGGTGATAGCTCTGTTCAACCTTGAGATGTGGTTTGGGGGGAAGTGGAAATGTTCTGCACGAAGGGGTGCTTTACATGAACCATGTTTATGATTCATGAAAGAACATCCATTCAGCATTAGGCAAACTTGGATCAAACATTGCCGGCCTTTAGGGCAAGCAAGGCCTTCAGAAACAAGTCGACAACTCCTCCACAGCGCCGGCCACCCCACGAAACACAACAATAAAGCAAACACAACAACAAACACAACCGTCTGGCGCACGTACATGGAGCGTACCACCGCTGCGATGTTCTGACCTCGCGCGCGAAAGCAAGCTTCAGCGTTCCCACCCAAACAATGCACAGTGAGAACCTTGACAAAGGCCACGCAACTGTTGAATCAATCAAAGGGAAACATAAGGACTCCTGGCCTCTCTTTGCCACAAACGGCAATTCAGAGCAGGGTTGGCCCTTTACCTGCCACTGACCTCGTTGATTCCTACCTCTCCATTCCCCAAAATCCGGCGTACTCCAGTTGGCTCATAGGTCCGCAAGATTGCCAACATAATTAATTTTGACAACCGCTCAAACTGCAACTAGAGTTACCCAAATCAAGCAGCCAACACACACTCAGGATGTATTTTGCTGCCCTTGCGCACCCTCAAAGGCATATTCGAGAACTCCTCAAAACAAAAAACTTTGTTTTTCTGCCCACTCTATTGATTGGACCCACACCTGCCATTGCCCAAGTTCCCCCCCCCCCCCGGGCCCTTTGGTCCCACAGGCCCGTCTGGGCGTTCCGGGCGTCTTCCCTCACTCAGCTCTGCCGCGCTGCCCGCCAGCTCGGCCGCCAAGAGCCGGCGATGGCCCAAAGCCTGGCACGGGACAACGAGTGCCAGGCCCAGGTGCCTAAAAGGATCCGGTAGGAATAGATTCCCTGTAAAACCAAGGGAAAATATAACAAACACATATACCAAAGCAAATGGAAAATCATGGACAATCATTTGCTGGTGCGAGAGATGCAGGGAATGAGAAACATGGAATGATCCCAAAGAAAAACCATCCAAGCTGTGGGTTCCTTTAAGGGCACCAATTCCTGGGTTCGTTCCCGCATTCCCTACTGATCACCAGCAAGACAAGCAGTGTCCCTCTAAAACAACTTGTCTGGGATTTTGATAAACACCCAAAATGAGTGGCTGCCCTCAAAAAAGGTCAGCGTACAGTCGTCCTCCCAAATCTAAGGCCTTGACAGAGGAAGCTGTGATCTCTGGAAATTTGTGAGACGTACAGCTTTCAGTTGGGAGCCACTTGAGCCACCCGCTGGATGGCACAATTCGCTCAAACTTTTCTTTAAGTGGCCGAGTAAAGTGGACGTCTAAACCCAAATGAGGGAAGCGCGGCATCTACAAATTTTCAAATTGGGAACCCTTTGGACATTCTATATTCAGAAAGGAGTTCTCTCCAGCCACTTGGTTGCATCCGCACCTGCTCCACGAGGCCCGGGGTGCGAGGCAGTCTCGCGGCCGCCCAGACGATGGACCTGCCACCCAAAAGCAAACCAGGTTGTTTAGGCTCGTTGGGGCTGAGCGTGTTCAAAGGAAAAGCCAACGGGCAAATCATTTTCTTCACCAAATGCTCATATACTCAACAGGGAAATGTCAGAGCAGTGGCTAACAAATTGACTATACATTATGTTCAACCAACGTGGCAGGCCTTCTTAGACTGGCGAAGCCTCGAGGCGGACCTGCTGTTCAAGTGAGGCATTGCCGGGTGAGTCATGGTCAACACCTAGTATTACAGAGGCCTACTCAATATTACTCAACACCCTGTACAGCGGACGCACCTTATTACGGTTAGGACTGTTCACTAGCCTTCTAAGTGTCGAGTGTCTCTGCTGGGGCAATCAAGCACGTGGCACGCAAGGTGAGCAGGGCCATCTCGCACCAGTCCCTCCTCAGCACACGGCAGACTTCGGGAGTTGCACGTTGCTTCAAGCCGTGGGCAAGCGCCGGCAACTGGATAGGGAAGTGGGTATGTGTCAAAATACGCTAACACAACAATTGGTCTCCCTTCCCAAAAAGGCAGCCTCAAAAGCACACACGCCTCAACACCATGATTAGACGGTCGGTGACATGTGCAAGTCAGAACTAAGGCGATGACTGTGCCGGTGTGGCACACCGCATGGAGCAGAAAATCGATCAAAGGCTGATGATGCTGTGAGAGGACCTGGGCATGAGTCTAGTCTCCTGAAAAGTATATAATGGGCCTCAAAAACTGTGGATGGGTAACCGGTTTGGTTCCACGTCATGCTCAGGAGACGGCAAACAGCGGACACAAACTGCAAACACGATGCCTCGCTGGTACCGGGGCCAACTCGAATACAATAGTAAAACAAGAGAACGCCAAGGTGCCAGGGTACATTGCCGAGAAAGCCCGCCACGCCAGCCGTTTGTTCAATGTCGAGAGAAGTTGAGAGGACAAAATCTGCAAAGCTGCAGAAAGAAAACACACATGGCTCTGGATGAGTGCGATGTCCCTGGACGCTCGATCCAGAAGCGTAAGGGGGGCTCGATAGAGATCGGACATTTGCGCTTCCAATGCAACACGAAACGCGGAATTGCAGATTCTCATTGCTGGGACGGACACCGTTTGTTCCCGCCCCTGCGCAACAAATCTTCGCCGGCTTGCAAAGTGATGCTGGCTGCTGACGGATCCCTGCTGTGAACACTACAGCAACGTGGCGGGCTATGCGGACCGGGCCGACTCAGCCTGGGCCTAAAGGAAGCGCTGCAGCAGCCACTGCTACGGCGAGCTGCGGCCCATGGGTGCCGGAAGCCTCGTAGGTGAAGGTAGCGCGCTTGCTGAGGCTGTGGAACCTGCGCTCGTGGTGCCTGGCCTCCAGCGTCATGCTGGATGCTGTAGCCCTTGTTCTGTCTGCACTCCAGCGCCTGATGCACGGGAACGAGGCTCGGCAACACATTTGCCGTCCAGGAGAAGGATCCCGAGAGCTCCGCGCAGATCGCAGTTGCAATCTGCGCGCAGCTCCTCGGGATCGCCCTCGCTGCAGTGCGCCCAGCGCTGCCCAGCGCCTTCTTCACCTCGCAGGGCCGGCACGGAGCTGCACCCGGGCTGGCTGATCTGCAGCTGGAGGCCCACACCGGTGCAGTTCCTCTACAGCCTCAACGAACTCGTCGCTCGGCAAAGGGCCGTAGGCCTTCTGCGGCGCCTCTTGCTATGTTCAGCAATAGCACATGGTGCTCCTCGGACCGTGCCGAGGAACACCCTCACCAACATTGCCAGCAACAGCGACACCGTGCTTGGGCTGTCCAAGCCTTTGGTGGGAGTTCGCGCTGGGGCCTAAAAGGGCTCCTGAGAACATGCTGTCAACACCTAGGCAAGCTGAGAACACAAATGGACGACAGCCGATGGTTGCTGTGTTCCAAGGATTCTTCGTCTTTTTGACCGCATGACAACACGTCCTGTATCTTACAGCTTTGGACAAGCACCGCAACCCTGCTTCTCAAGTATAGACATCCTCTGAGTGACTCAAGACTAGCCATGTTTGAGGGCTTTTCGCCGAAACAGTCCAACGATGTCCCAAGAGAAACGCGCTCAGGTGCAACAGTGCAACGGGAAACAAGTCAAAAGACAATCATTTTGGGAGAACGATTTTGACACAAACCCAAAGTTCCCAAAGGGCGTTCGGCCGCTGAGTCGCCGAGTGCTGGGCTGCCACTGCCCAAAGCATCCCCGCCGCCTCAGCTCCGGCTACGTCCATACCGAGTGCGCCAGCCCGGAGATGAGCCCGGGGCCTGTCTCGGCTCGTACTCCTTGAGCCTCGCAGGGGCTGAAGTAGACCCCCCCTATGAATCAACTTGCTGCTTGAGTGGATGGGCCCAAAACAGCCCCAACTCTTGAGTTGCAATGGTCTTCAGAGTCTTCCCCAAAAGTTTAAAGTCCAGGAACTCAGGAAGGAAGTCAACTGTAGGGGTTCATTTGATTCTGAGTTGCTGTACTTCAAAACCAAGTCAGGGAGTCTGGTAAATGACGCAAGGCAACGGCTCCGGCTTCTCGCCTAATTTCAAGTTGCAAATCAAAACAGCAGACGATCCCTGCAAGTCTCCATTCAGGTTCCCCATCAGTGATTTCACCAACCTGAACTAAGGAATCTTGAGAAGTTCAAGGCGGAAACTTTGCTCGGATCCGGAAACCAAGATTCACCAAGTGATCTTTCGGACCCATTAAATGAAAACCGGAAAACCAAAAGGTGAGGTGGATTCGCTTCGAAGTTTTTCTGTTTTGTTTCATCAAACATGCCCTTTCCCGCCTGGCCCTCATGGCCGGTAGCATGGCATCAATGAGGGCGGGCACCCCACTGCGGACCTGCCATCCAGCGCCGTTCTCCGGGTATGCTTGCAATGCTGGCTGGATCATTGGCTTCATTGCGTCTGAACCAATAGAACGGTCCTGCCATTTTCATTTGCGGGAAATACGTAAGCGATGCTGATTTTCCAACTATCTCAGTAGCGTTTGCCCGTCCTGGCCGCCGGTGTTGAATCTATGACAGAAACAAGTATACACAATTTCAGCAAGACAAGACAAACACGGAAGCGGATTCCATTTGATGCTCCGCGGGGAAGTCCTTTCTTTCAGACAGCCCCAACGAATCGAGACAGGGTCCGTTCATCAGGAAACAATATTTCACGAACATCGCTGGACTGCTGGCCAGTATAGCGGGTGATTCTGAAGCTGGATGAAGCTGGTATCTTCGTACTACCTCTGAGGCACGCATCATGCCCCACACAGTAAAGTAGTCTCCAGACAATCTGGGGTACTGCGGCAGAGAGACGCAGAATTGTCCAACAACAAAACCAAGGAGTGCTTGGAAAGGGACCCACCGAGGCGGGATGCATGAATGGGGTCCCAAGCTGCAATAGCCCAAAAGTGAAACCCATTCAATGAATCCCAATTTAGAGTGCTCTGAAAATACTCTAGTGTCAGCTTCCAAAGGGCAAAACGAAGCTCTGCAAGACGGCGCCAGACTCATCGTGCATCTGAGCTGTGGATACGGAGAGCACCCTTTGGCCTCGGAAAATGGCCCGCCTCACAAACGGCAAAGGCCCACAGCGTCGAAGCGTGGTGCTGAGGCAGCAATCCTCCCGCCAGCCTGGCCCGGGCCATCGGACTTGTCAGCCATTGTGTGTTCAAGCCAAACTGGTCAATCACTGCCTAAAACCAGAGAAACAGAGAGAGAGAGAGAGAGATTTTACGAATACGCAAGAAATGGAGACACGCACAAGCACACAAACACACAAACCCAAATACGTACACACAAACACAACCACACACACATTAAACAAATAACAAGACAAAGAGACACACAAAGACACAGAGCGAGACACACACGCACACGGAAACACTCAGAGACATACAGAAACAAAGAAATGCACGCAACAGGGGCTTTCAAAATATATTTACAGGGGGGACCACATTTTGGAGAGTGAGGGAGGGGCTCCCAAAAACCGCGCTTGTGAGGAGGCAAGGTATATAGCCATACAAGAAGGACTTCCAAAACTGTGTTGTTGGAAGGTGGTGCAGCTCCCATAAGCAGCGGGCATGCAAAAAGGGGCTTGGGGAGGAAACGTGCTCGCAAGATACTGCGTTTTGAGCCGCTGATGCTGGCAAGTGCCATGCACGAAAACAAACACACAAACACACAACCACCCAAACACACGGACAACACAAAACACACCCGCAAACACAAAGAAAGCAAACACAAGCAAAACAAATGAAGCACACACACAACACACAACACACACACACACAACACAACACAACACACCACACAACACACAACACACCGCACACAGCTCACAGCACATACCCACGCCCACACAGAACACACACACACACACACATGCACACCCACGCAAACACGCGTGCGCGCCCGCACGCCCGTTCACGTACACGCACACGCACACGCAGACGTACACCCCCACACCCACACCCACCCGCACCCACACGACACACGCACACGTGCATCACGCAAACACTCACAAAGACCCTTTCTGCAAGGAATATGTTGTTCGTGCCGCAAATGACTGGAGAAGCCAAACTCGAGACAAGACTGGATGCTGGCAGCATCCATTTTCGTGCGGCGCCTGCTGGCCGCACGGGCGAGAGCCTCGAAGAGAGCCGGGTGCCTGAATCCAGGCTTTCTCTGGTCATTGAGCCTCAGCCGCACGAGGGCTTGGACCCAAACTGTGGAAGCAATGCAAAAGCAAGTTGTGACCCCCCCCCAACCCTGCCCCCCCCCCCCGCCCCTGCTGTCCTAATTTCATCATGCCCTCATGGTCTTGATTCCGGCGCGTGCCTGCGCTTGGGCCGCAAGAGTCTATGTCTGTGAGGGAACCTTACAAAAGTGCATTCCTTCTGATTTCCCCAGCGACTCCAAAACGGTAGCCTCAAACAAAAACACACTTGGAGATCACTTGCAGTATCTTTTGACACTCTTGAATCTGTGGAGCAGCTTTTAGGGAACTGCCCTTTCCTGGGCCCGAGAGTCGCGCTCATCAGAGCGAGAGACGTTGGCAAACGACCAGCAGAGGTTTGCGAGATGAAGTGGCCTGCCGCGCTTGGTGCAGAGGAATCATACAGCTATCCTGCAGCATCGATTGGTAGCATGTTTAAGCCCCTATGCGCTATGCAAACCTAGGTGGTCAGAAATCTGCGTCAAAACTAGATGGCTGAGGAATTGACAACACAGCACAAGACGCATATCCATGCGTTGCGGATGCCTTGCGCAATTACAAGTGTGCAGAAGGTGTTTTTCCCGATCATGTGGGCTACGGTCAACAAATCTGAATGGTATGGTCAACATTGTAGGGGTGTTGTTTCCATCATGGCAATATGGGATAGTTGTGGTGGCTCGCTCACAGTGTTGACTGATGGGAGTTTCTGGCTCCGCCAGGTGGTTCACGTCTTGAACTGTCCACGGCCTACTAGTCCACAAGCCGGGCACACTCCAGCTCGCCCACTCGCTCCATCTCAGGCGTGTGAGCGTCAGGCAATTCTGGATTGAAATTGGACTGCTGAAGAGCTCAATACGGGATTCATCTGCAGGGTCAAGAGATCAATGATCTGAGATTGGGTATTTCAAGAACCAATGGTGCAAAAGCATAATGTTTCCTGAAATGGATAACTTCCGGCACTAACAAGGGCGGCAGGTTGCAATCAATCATAAGGGGTCTGAGAGGCTTACACCAAGTTGCACAAACAAGTGTGCCCAACGTCACTTGCACAGGGCCGCTGCCGCCGCTTCCGCCAGCCGCCCCAAGAGGAACTCATCCCGGGGGCCAGCCTGGCGTCAGTGGATGCACAGGAGAAAAAAAAAACAAAAAAAACAGTGTATGGTGCCGGCCAACCCTTTGCGCACCTCAAAACGCCTCCGACACTGCAGTTCAAACCCCGACGAAGCTTCCCTGGGCGGATCCAAGCTCGTCAGCTGTGCGCGAGCGCTGGCCCAGGCGATGTTGCATATGTGGGACCTAAGGGACCCAAGGGTGGGATTCGACCTGTTGAATGATCAAACGATTTTCCTTTGTGAGGCTTCCCGATTTTGGGTGCCGCTTCCATGCTCTGGCATTTGTCAGCCAACTTTGCCCAACCCCGGCTGATCACCCTCCAATTTAGGGATGCCAACTACTGCTCACCGTGGCTTTGACAACCCAAGGCCAGTGACATAGCAGGCTATAAGTGCGGGAACATTCACTAATCCAAAAGATCAGCTTTGAGAAATTCTTCGTGGAATTTGCCAAAATTGATGGTTCTTCGGATGTGGAACATGTCCAGCTGTACTTGGCTTCTCAGAAGCAAACAAGCAAAGTTGGCCACTGTTCGTAAGTTGCAAACATCTCGAGGACCTCTCGGACTCAGCAGCAGAACTTTAACCAACACCCCGGGAAAACGTGGGTGCCCTCACTTCATACGTCATTACCTTCGCACCAACGCAGAGAAACCGTATGGGGAAGTGTCTCTGTATTGGGGGAAGGACCACCCTTGTCTAAACTGAATGGCTGGAATCAACGGTGAGAACAGCAATATAATCCATTCGGAGCGCAGGTGGCTAACATCAACTTTGAGCTGCCAGAAGTCCAGAATTTGCTGTTGGAATTCAAGAGAGCAGGAGCAGGTTCAGCATGGAATGTGGCATGCCAGTGGATGATGCATGGCTAGACGTGGTTTAGGCTTTTGCCTTATGCATTTGCTGATATTTGTTGCATCTGTGTGTTTTTTTTTTTTTTTTTTTTTTTTTTTCGCAAGTTTGGCCAAACCTTTTGAATGCCATTAATTTGTCCATCTACCCGTTGACCACCAAAAGCAATGTGTGTGTGTTTTTTTTGCAAGAGGGCATTTCGTCAAGGAAAGACAACAGAAACAAGTGGGAGAGCTGGGTGCCGATCGACACAGCCTGCCTTGAGGGCTTTGGCTTGATCGATGGACAAGGCAGGATTCTCACAAAGATGCCCAGGGCCGGGCATTCAGTTTTTACTTTCCCCGTTTAGTTGTCAGTGGAATCCCCAAAGAAACAGGGGCTTAGGGTTGGGTAATTGGGCCAAGCCCTTGTAACATGAACTGCAAAGGTTTCGATAACCGTTTTTGGATTCTTTTCAGAGTCGTCGACTCCCTGCTACTGTCTGTGAGTAGAGAAGAAAATAGGATAGAACTTCTCAGATGTAGGTGGGGAGCCCTTGCTTGATTGTTTAAGTTGAAGGCCAACAGGAATCATTTCTGGGGGACCAACATTTCAGGACACAGTCTTTGCTTCCCGGTCGCACCCATGCCCCTTGCAGGCTTGCGACACGTCCATGCCATTCACCGAACGCGCAGCCTGCGATGCAGGCACAAAGTTCTGACCGTGGACTCGTGGAGGACTATGCTGACGATTCTGGAGATACACCTTTTTCAGAACGGTTTTGGATATACAAAGATGGACATGAGTCAAATTGTGCCAGAGCGGAGACTACTACCAGGGTGGCTCCCTTCAACAAGAACCCCAAAAACCTTTAGGGCAAACACGTGCAGACCTCACAGGGGACATGAGGAGCAAAGGGCCCTTGTTTGGTTCATTGTAAACATAAGACGACACTTCCCCAAAAAAGAAAAGAAACACGGCGTCACTAGGCCTGGTCGGAGGCCACCTGAAAGACCGAATCAGCGGGGTAACCGCTCACCTTCGCGCGCTCGCCCGGCAAATCTCAGGATCTGTCGAGGTCAACCGAACAACGGACTCCAATAATCAACCAAACAATTTACCAACAACCAACCAAGCAACCACCAAACAATTCACCAACAATCAGCCAACATCGCAAAGAACCGAGCCATTTGGAGATGTGAATAATTGGAAGTACCTACCCCCCAACTGGAAGACCTTCTTTGCGGAGCAATGAGCTCTTCTTCCGCAAGAACCTCCTTGGAAGGTTGTGGGAACTGACCGCAGTGACAAATTCTTCACCGGGCGTATCACAGTGGGGTTGGCACAGTGGGTATCTGTTTCCTTGCGGTTCGCGGAACCCACCAGAAGGTCCCTTCACATGGTCGCCCTCCGGTTAGGTGCCTTGGCAAGGGTAGTTCGCCAATCTGAACAAAGACATTCCTCAAAACATGTAAAATCAAGTCAAATTCTGCATGTACTGTCTATATCGCAAAGGACCTTCTGGTGAGACCTTATGGTGGGTTGCATGCCAAGCTTCAGGCAGCCAAGGCCCACAGAGTGATGGGCAGCTCCTGGCAGTGCGACCAATGGGTCTGGGCACCCCCGCCCCCGCCAATTTCGGCCCCTGGTTGAATTCCTTGGGGTTTCACATCCAAAGCCTCCCCTCTTTTTCCCCGCCAACACATGACTCCCAGCTGCAAATCGCAGAACGAGGGCCGGCCCCTTCCCTTGGTTGGGATTGTGGGGACAACCCCCACACCCGGCACTCACCCTTTTGAAGGGAATCAGTTTAGGGCATGTCCTGTGGTTCGTCCTGTTCAGGTTGCTATGCAGAATGGCTGATAAAACAACACGTCAAGCAGGGGCCCCAAGGATGGAATTCCCACGTGCCGGGCCTGCGCACCCAGTTCGGAGATTCTGGAAGTGCCTGGGCATGCTTTGGCTCACGGCCAGCGAGGTGAGCTGAGAGATTCTCTGACTGTCGTATTTTTTAGACGAGTCCGAAACTTGAATCCCGGCCGCTTCAGTTCCGGTGTATCGGGAATTTGTGAAGCCAACCGTGGGTTCGGAAGGGGACATTTATGCATTTCAGTACGAAAGGGACTCCTCACATCACTACGGTCATTCTGTTGCCCCAAACTCTGAAAAGGGCGGACCATTTCGGCTGAAACTTCTGGTTTTTGATTCACATGTGACATGGCTGCAGGCTGAAATCTGGTAAATTTCATTCACAGCTTGAGTCGAGAAATGGCCATGGATCGCATCCTATGGGTCGTGGAGCGGCTCGCACATTCCGACTCCGTGAGCGTTCCGGCACTCGGACACCAGGGCAGCGAAGAGGGGCAAATCCCGGTGCTGCGCGGTGGCATAGGCCTGAGGCCGGATGCGCCCGCCGGCCCTCCCGAAGATCCGCAGGTGGGGCTCAAAAACCAGCTCTTGCTGTCTTGTTCACCAGTTTCCCTTTCGAAACCTTGGTTCTTACTGGAAGCATGAGTAGACGATGTGTTCTGTGAACTCCGCGTGTCTATGAGTTCTGCCTAGTCATGCTTCGTGATTGTGACGCGTAAGCTACACTCTTTTTCGAGTTCCTGCTACGGAGCCTGCTTTGAGGCTCGAACTTCGGCCTTCCATCCGTTGCCCAGTGGCCATGGCAACAAGCGGGCGCACAGCGCTTGCCGGGCCACTAGGCGTAGGATCTGTTCCGTAGCGCCACGGGCTGGCGGGGAAAAGAGACTTGGGCAGTCCGAGGGAAATCACTGAGCTGTCCAAGTCACTAGGAATCTGAGCAATCATCTGCGATCTTTTCGTCGTCACTGGCATTGCTGTCAGCAACATCGTCATTATCCTTGGCCACATCCAGGCCATCCGGTGAATCAGCAGCGGAATCAGGCGCATCAACTGTGGCCAGGTCAGGTGAATGTGCAGCATCAGGCACCGCGTCAGAGGACTCGCTGCCGGATTCACTCTCAGAGTCTGTGTCACAAGGTGCGCTCAGAGTCCGCAGCGAAGGCGGCAAACCAAACTTCATGGGCGAAAAAGAAGGTCGGAGTGTGATGTTGGCCCTGGCGATCACTGGCCCGCCAGCACGCATGAAGACCTGAACCTGATTGTCCTTGCCCGGCTTGACTGACAAAGTGACCTGGTGCTCAAGACCCAAATGTGGTGCAAGCAAAGTGCGCCCTTTCAAAGACAACAACGGCATCGCTGCTGAGGTTGTAACATAAAGCAAAAACACACAACAACCAAATCAAGCCAAACACAGCTAAAGCAAACACGAAACACAAAGCAAACAAAGAGCAACTACTTGGTTGCGGCACCTGCGGGCTGACCGTGCTGTCATTATGGGTGTTTCAAAGGGTTGCAATTGTACACAAAGCTTCGCCGCTTGTTTGCTGGTTTCCTTGCAATAGCCAAGAACGCATGCCTGGATTTCTTGCTTCGGGTTGTGTGTTGGGTGCGGTTGAGGTTTCTTTTCAGGGGTTGCTGAAAATTAATGGGGGGGTGAACGTGGGTTTAGGATGGTCTTGCAAGTAGGTTGGTCATTGGATGGGCTAAGACCGGGCAACGCATGATTCTAGGCTCAACAAGTCACTCAAAACGTGATCACGCACACAAGCCAACTGGCAATAGTCGTAAAAATCAGCTACGTACAATATACACCGACATATGAATCCATCTATCTACACATACGTGTATATAACGTATAGTCATGCCATTTCAGTGAGCCACAAAAAAACAGAGCAACCATGAAACACTCTTCTAAAATTGCATGTCGAGAATGTTAACCCTTTCTCACATACACCGCATGTGTTGTGTGTATGTATACATATATCCGCCGACAACAGACGGCGTGTTGGACATAAGAAATGCTCCTTACCTCTTTACCTGTTACCCCTCCCCTTACCCCTCCCCAGGAGCACCATTTCAGACTATTGGGGGGGGGGGGGGTCCACGTACCTCTTCGAAGACGCTTCACTAAATCTGTTCATTGGCTTGCGCAACTCAGTTTGTCAAAAACATTGGGGTGCTCGATTCCAGAGGCACATCGCCAGCATCACCTGCATCATCCGCATCAGCGCCTGCCAAGGATGCGGATGATGCAAGTGATGCTGGGGATGTTGCCTATGCTGGTGAAAGGGAGAAGATCTGGGGAACAAATGCCTTGGGGGGGAAAGGGGGGAAAAGATCTTTGGGAGGAAAAGGGACATCTTTCTTGGGGGGAACAGGCCCTAGGGGGACAGGATCTCAAACGGGAAAGGGGGAAAAAGACTTTGGGAAGAGAAGGGTGGAGATCTTGGGGGGAAAAGGCCTTAGGGAGGAAACGGGGGGAAAGGATCATCTTAGGGAGGAAAAGGGAGAAGAACTCAGGGTGGGAAAAGGCCTCAGGGGGGACAGGAGGGAAAGGATCTCAATAAAGAAAGGTGGGAAAAGCTCTTAGGGAGGCAAAGGGAGAAGATCTCAGGGGGGAAAAGGCCTTAGGGAGGAAAGGGGGGAAAGGATCTCAACAGGGAATGGGGGGAAAACATCTTAGGGAGGAAAAAGGAGGAAAGGGGAGATGATCTCGGGGGGGAAAAGGCCTTGGGGGGGAAAGGGGGGGAAAGGATCGAAAAGCGAGAAGATCTCAGGGGGGGAAAAGGCCTTAAGATCTCAGGGGGGAAAGGCCTTAGGGGGGAAAGGGGGAAAGGATCTCAACAGGGAAAGGGGGCAAATGATCTTAGGGAGGAAAAGGGAGAAGATCTGAAAGGGCCTTCGGGGGGAAAGGGGGGGAAAGGATCTCAACAGGGACAGGGAGAAAAGATCCTAGGGAGGAAAAGGGAGAAGATCTCGGGGGGAAAGGGGGAAAGGATCTCAACCGGGGGAAAAGATCTTGGGGAGGCAAAGGGAGAAGATCTCGGGGAGGGAAAGGCCTTAGGGGGGAAAGGGGGGAAAGGTTCTCAACAGGGAAAGGGGGGAAAACATCTTAGGGAGGAAAAGGGAGAAGATCTTGGGGGGAAAAGGCCTCAGGGGGAAAAGGGGGGAAAGGATCTCAACAAGGAAAGGGGGGAAAAAAAGGCCTTAGGGGGGAAAGGGGGGAAAGGCTCTCAACAGGAAAGGTGGTCAAAAGATCTTAGGGGAGGAAAAGGGAGAAGATCTCAAGGGGAAAAGGACTTAGGGAGGAAAGGGGGGGAAATATCTTTGGGAGGAAAAGGGAGAAGAACTGAGGGTGGGAAAAGGCCTTAGGGGAGACAGGGGGGAAAGGATCTCAATAAGGAAAGGTGGGAAAAGATCTTGGGGAGGAAAGGGAGAAGATCTGGGGGCAAAGGCCTTAGCGGAGAAAGGGGAGAAATGATCTCCACAGGGAAAGGGGTGGAAAAGATCTTAGGGAGGAAAGGGAGAAGATCTGAGGAAAAAAAGGCCAACAGGGAAAGGGGGGAAAAATTCTTAGGAAGGAAAAGGGAGAAGCTCTCAGGGGGGGGAAAGGCCTTCGGGGGGAAAGGGGGGAAAGGATCTCAACAGGGAAAGGGGGGAAAACATCTTAGGGAGGAAAAGGGAGAAGATCTTGGGGGGAAAAGGCCTTAGGGGGGAAAGAGAGGAAAGGATCTCAACAAGGAAAGGAGGGAAAAGATCTTAGGAAGGAAAAGGGGGAAGATCGCGGGGAAAAAAAAGCCTTAGGGGGAAAGGGGGGAAATGATCTCAACAGGGAAAGGTGGCAAAAGATCTTAGGGAGGAAAAGGGAGAAGATCTCAGGGGGGGAAAGGTTAGGGGGGAAAGGTTGGGGGGGAAAGGTTAGGGGGGAAAGGGGGGAAAGGAAAGGGGGGGAACATCTTAGGGAGGAAAAGGAGAAGATCTGGGGGCAAAGGCCTTAAGGGGGAAAGGGGAGAAAGGGGTGGAAAAGATCTTAGGGAGGAAAGGGAGAAGATCTGGGGGAAAAAAGGCCAACAGGGAAAGGGGGGGGAAGATCTTAGGAAGGAAAAGGGAGAAGCTCTCGGGGGGGAAAGGCCTTAGGGGGGAAAGGGTGGGAAGGATCTCAACAAGGAAAGGGGGGAAAAGATCTTAGGAAGGAACAGGGAGAAGATCTCAGCGGGGGGGAAGGCCTTAGGGGGGAAAGGGGGGAAAGGATCTCAACAGGGAAAGGGGGCAAAGGATCTTAGGGAGGAAAAGGGAGATGATCTTGGGGGGGAAAACGCCTTAGGGGGGAAAGGGCGGGAAAGGATCTCAACAAGGAAAGGTGGGAAAAGATCTTTGGGAGGAAAAGGGAGATCTCAGGGGGAAAAGGCCTTAGAGGAGAAAGGGGGGAAAGGATCTCAGCAGGGAGAGGGGGGAAAACATCTTAGGGAGGAAAAGGGAAAAATCTGAGAGGGAGAAAGGGCCTTAGGGGGGAAAGGGGATGGATCTCAACAGGGAAAGGGGGGCAAAAATCTTAGAGGGGAAGGGGGGCGGCCTGAGCCGGAGGCGTTAAAATATATATATATATATTATACACTATGTGCATTTGATTTGCATGTTTTGTTCTTGTCTTTTTGGTCAATATCCGTTTTGCATACTCATAGGTACAGCTGTACAGAACGGCCAGAAACACATCCAGCAAACACAC